TTACAAGCATGGCCTCTGCACTAGTGGGTCTTAAAGCGTGCGTAACGGAGTTTAATCCAGATGTGCAACAAGATGCTGGTAGCAATCAAGAACGCCGATGGAAACTCTGGTTAGAAAACCTAGAACTGGTGATGGATTTTGAGGGCATCACTGACGCTGCAGAGGGGCCTTCAAAGAGAAGAGCTGCATTGCTTGCTGTTGGTGGCTCTGAATTACGGGAGCTTTTTGCAACATTGACAGTTGCGGATGCAAAATATTCAACCGCCACAGCTGCTCTCACTGCACATTTCACTGCGAAAAAAAATTTAGCTGCGGAGCGCTACAAATTTTTCTGCACCAAGCCCACCTCCCCAGAGGAATCTCATGATCACTGGGCGACTCGCTTAAGGATCAAAGGTGCTGATTGTGAATTTAATGAGATGGATTTAAATTCTGCAATCACACTGGTGATGACACTGCACACTCACTCCGAAAAATTACAAAGGGAGATAATTGCTCAAGATATGGACTTAAAGAAGGTCCTAGCTACTGCTCGCTCTATTGAGCTTACCAATAGAGAAATTGCCTTCATGAAGCAACACAATATGGAGGCTACAGCCACACCAACACCTGTCTATGCTGTACAAGGAAAGCACCCTAAGGCAGAACATCTATACAAGTCTAAAGGGAAAACCATTGAGATCTGCCGCTATTGTGGAGAGCGAACACCACACAAAGGGAAATGCAAGGCCATGGGTGCAACCTGTAAGAGCTGCAATAAGAAAAATCATTTTGCTAGTGTTTGTGAGTCAAGAAAATCAACAAAGCCAGTCAAAACGGTTGACACAGAAGAAAAATTTGATGAAAATCCAGAGCAAGACAGTTATATCTACAACAATTTTGTGGAAGGACCAACTGTTCTCAAGCTGGATGCAGTCACTACACCAGTTCATGCTATCCAGAGCAAGAAACGATATCCGGATACCATGGTGCAGGTGAAGTTTGATGGGGGCACAAAATTGAGAATGCAAATTGATACAGGTGCAGATGCAAATATCATTGATGAAAGCCTCTACCACCAGCTGCACCCTAAACCAAAACTTAGAAGAACACAAGTCAAGCTCAAGCCATACAACTCTCCACCCATTCCGGTAAAAGGATCCTTCCAGACACAGCTAACAGCCAATGGAAAGCAGGCCATTGCAACCGTGTATGTTGTTCCAGGATCAGGACAAAAACCTCTCATTGGAAAGTACACTGCTTTTGATCTGAGTCTGCTTAGCATCACTGTGAAAGAGTTAACCGCAGACATGCAAGACATGCACCATGTGCTGCAGGAAAGAAAACAGGGAAACAAGAGTGCCAAGGCCACCACTCACGTCACGCAACACATGTCATATTCAGCTATGGCAGAGCATCTCACCTCTAAAAAGTCTTCCGAACAGCGGCTGGACAATATCTACAAACATAAGCAAGATGCAACAGACAGAGTTAAGGCCATCGTTGATCAGTACCCTGGGGTGTTTGAAGGTATTGGCAAACATCGATACAGAGTTGTGAAGTTGTCCGTGGACAAGTCAGTACCTCCAAAAATTCAACCACAGCGCCGAATACCATTTGCAAAGAGGGAGCAATTTGAAGCCATTCTCAAAGAATTGGAAGATGCAGACATCATCGAGCCAGTGTATGGACCAACAGAGTGGGTTTCAAATGTCGTGTTGACACCAAAAGCTGATCCATCCCAGTTGCGAATGAGCCTTGATATGACCACAGCTAACACTGCCATCCGGCGCACACGTCATGTCATCCCCACATTGGAAGAACTGCGATACAAGTTAAATGGAGCCAAGCATTTCACAAAACTAGACATGCGTCAAGGCTACATGCAGTTCGAGCTGAGCCCAGAAAGCAGATACATGACAACGTTCTACACCCATCAAGGCCTGAGGCGTTTCAAAAGGTTAAATTTTGGCACCAATTCAGCTGCTGAGATTTTCAATGAGGAAATTCGTCAAACGCTGGTGGATATTGAACATGTTGAAAACATCTATGATGACATTATCGTGTTTGGAAAATCTCAGAAAGAACATGATCGAGCACTTATGCAAGTATTACAGCGCCTTGATGACTGCGGTCTAACACTTGGCATGTCAAAGTGCAGTTTTAACCAACCAGAAATCAAGTTTTTTGGCATGACTTTCTCATCAGCAGGAATGTCACCATCACCTGACAAAGTACAGGCTCTACATGATGCCCAACCACCCGCATCTGCAGCTGAAGTTCGATCCTTCTTGGGAATGGCTAATTTCAGTGCTCATTTTATTCGCAACTACTCTGCTCTTACAACCCCGTTGCGGTTGCTCACTAGAAAGAATGTTACTTTCAACTGGACCAATGATTGTCAAAAGGCTTTTCAGTCAATTAAAGAGGCCCTCTCACAAGACACCACAATGGCATACTTTGACCCAACACGAGAAACAAAGCTCATTGTAGATGGCTCCAAATATGGCCTTTCTAGCATCTTGACACAACTTGAGCCCCAAACACAACAATACAAAGTAATCAGATACGACAGCAGAGCGACAACAGACACTGAGAGTCGCTACTCACAAATTGAAATTGAGAGTGCTGCACTAGCATTCGCCATGCAGAGAAACCATATCTATCTACATGGCCTTCAAAATTTCATTGCAAGCACAGATCACAAGCCTTTGTTACCCTTGTACAACCAGTACAAGGCAGAACTTCCAGCACGAATCCTGCGGGACAAGTTGAAGCTGCAAGATTATAGCTACACACTAATTCACGAGCCGGGGAAGACAAATCCAGCTGATTACCTTTCCCGGCATCCGGTTGTCTTAGCTGATGTGTGTACCGTAACAAAGAAATCCATAGAAGAGGATATGCTATACATTGATGCAGTTGTCCGAGCCAACCTTCCCAAAGCTGTAACAAAAGAACACATGTTAAAAGCTACACTAGAGGATGAAACATTGACAGTTCTCAAAGAAATGATCTCACAGGGATACATCAGCAAAGAACAGAAAAGGAAATTGGCTTCATATACACATATATTTCCAGAGCTATCAGTAGTGGATGGCCTAGTGCTCAGAGGTTGCAGAATTGTTGTTCCTGCCAGCCTTTGGCAGTCTGTGACAACCCTTGCTCATGAGGGACATCAAGGGGTTGTGAGAACAAAGCAATACTTACGCATGCATTTGTGGTTTCCGGGATTAGATAAGAGGGTTGAAACAGAAATTGCACAATGCATGGCATGCCAGGCAAATACAGATATTCATCAGCAAGAGCCACTCAAGCCAACAGAACTACCCACAGAACCATGGTCTAAACTTGCAACAGACCTATATGGTCCATTAGACACTGGTGAATACCTGCTGGTTGTACAATGCCTGTACTCCAGATTTCCTATGGTCGAAATCGTGCGTTCAACTTCTGGTACAGCAGTCATACCAGCAATGGACAAAATTCTCTCAACATTAGGAATCCCAGATGAAATAGCAAGTGACAATGGGCCACCATATAGCAGTGAGGAATTCAAATCATATGCAAGATACATGGGTTTTGAGCACAAAAAGAAAATACCATATGCACCATGGGCGAATGGCATGGCCGAAAATTTTATGAAAAACCTAGGAAAAATCATTCGCTCCTCCACAGAAGAGCGTCTAAACTGGAGACAGGAATTACAGAAATACCTGAGGGCCTACAGAGCTACTCCACACACAATGACAAAGCATTCTCCAGCCAATCTCCTTTTCAATGGACGAAGGTACAAGACGCGTCTTCCAACACCTACCAGTAAGAAAATATTGCTTTATGACAGAGAGGTGCGTACAAAGGATACTAGGAGCAAAGAAACAATGAAGCAGAACGCAGACAGCAAGAGTTATGTAAAAGAACTAGATATTAAAGTAGGGGACACAGTTCTGTGTCGACAAGCGAAGCTCAACAAGAAAACCACACCTTTCAACAACGAGCCTATGATTGTTGTGAAGAGGAAAGGCAGTTTAGTTACAGCCAGAAATGCCACAAGAACCATCACAAGACATATTACATTTTTCAAGAAGCTACAAAGGCTGGATGAGAACAAGTCAAGGTGCGAAGGAGATTATACCACACAGCCACTTTCACCTGACACTGATGAAAGAGAAGAAAATGTCATTCCACCAAATGAAGTGCCAATAGAGAGACCGGTGAGAATAAGACAACCTCCTGCTAGATACAGAGATGAAAACTTTCAGACTGAGTTTTAATCCAACAATACAACAGACACAATAGAACCATGTTATGTTATGTTATACTTTATCAATTATGTTATGTTATGTTTTGTTTTGTAATTAGGGGAGGAATGTAATGTTCTAAACGAGGCTGTTGAATTAGGAGGTTATTATGATGTAACACCGAAGTGACAGAAGCACGTTTTATATGAGTGGCACTCTTTGTATAATCGTGGACTCTTCAATCCTTAGTTTCTGAACTAAAGATAACTTGAATGCGTTACGCCACTGTTTGTGTTCTTTCAGGCTATGTGATCCAAATTTAACAAAAATGACGTCATCTCTGAAGGATTCTATCGATATCCCACGGAGAGACCTGGGTCAAATTTGTCACCTTGACAACAAACGATAATGTATCACTAGGATTATCTCCGTTAAAGATCCAAATATGCGGTTATACGGAATATTTTCCCAAAGGTATACAATAACAAAACCTTCCTCGTGTTTTTGAAACAAACCACTCGAGAGATTATTTATAAAATAAGTCTTAATTTGTGCGGAGAAAACACAGTTATCAGCAGCTTGGAGAGGTTCGCTTCCCAGCGGAATAGCTAAATTTGCAACAAAATATTCCAAGAATTTTTATTAGATTATCTCAAGGTCAGAAACTTGGACCACAGAAACTGGCCTGTAGACCAGGATAGGAAAGCCTGCACTCAAAGAGGGCCAGGGGGCAAGCACAAACAAAAGATGAGTGAAGAAAAATGTCACATTTAAGGGCAAGGGGTTCACTACTCTATGGCACAGGTGTCCTTGCGAGAGGGAACCAGACAATGCCTCTTAGAGGCTCTAGTTATTAAAACAACCATAACATAATTTTAATGGCTTTAGCTTCATAACATTTTATGACTCGAAATATCTGTCTTAAACCATTTGATGTAAAATGGTGATCCCATTTTGCAAAGACAAAGAACAAAAAATGACTCACTGCATTCAAAAACACAGTATGTTATGAAAAATTGCTTGATCCTTATCAAAAAGGAAGTGATTAAATAATCACAGACAATAACATGTAAAAAAAGAAACAACAAAACATTAAAAAGTTGGGAGGTTTCCAGAATGTTTACTTTGAACTTTTCATCAAGGAAACCTAGCCTTTCACCACAGATAGCTTAACTGATAAGATAATGTTTCAAATCTATGCCTGGGAGGGACATGCCTTTATTATAATGAAACTTATTTCTGGGGTAACCTTCACAGACTTCAAATTGTCATACCCAATTGCCATATCAGTTTTCGTGATTCATCTTTTATATAGAAAAAATACTTCCTAGCGTGGAGTTTTTGATCTAAGTTCTGATTTTTTAAACTCTGAAGAGTGTCTGACAAAAAAGGTTTAGTATACTCAAATGTTTGCTTTTTTCAAAGCCATTTTTTAGTTTTGTACCACCAAAAGATTGTAAACTTGTTAATGTTTGAAATTACTACAATTCCTAAAATCAAACGCGAGACAAAGTTCTCCTTTTCTGAACTATCCTCCAATTCCCACATTGAAAACAGAAACAGCCTTTTTTATATTTATCTTTCAGCTTGACTTAATCACTGTTATTTTGTTATCAATTTTAGTTTGGTATCTGCATTCATGGTCTGGGTTCATGAAATTGGTATGGATTCAATCTTTCTCCCTCCAGAGTCACCTGCCTATATTAATAATTTCTAAACTGAAAGTAGTTCAATTCTGAATAAATTGTGATAAACACAATCTCTATGGTCTTCTAACATTAGGTGTTAAATTTCCATCTAAGCTTTCTAGTGCACCCAGCAAAAAAATACTGGATTTGTCAACTTTTACCTAATCCCTTGAAGTATCTGTCATCCTTCCTTGAAGCAGGACGAACTCATGACAAAAGAAATGCCAACACTTTATGGCCAAGTGAAATAGCTTTCCTGATTTCCAATTTTGATAAAGATAACTTTGATATGTAATCCTAGGCCCTCTAACAATTTTGAATTTCAAAAAACTGCCCATGTATAAACAGAGGTCTTCTTGGACTTCTAGCTGAGCTGAACTTAGTTTCAAAGATTGAAAAATGAGCTGTTACTTGCTCTTTGCTTTCAGTTTAAAATAATGTCAATTTTTTCCACATAGGTGTGTTTAGTGGACAAAAGCAAGGTCATTTAAGGTCCAGAATGGCATGCTGATACAAGTAAAATCCATGAATTGATTCTCTAGCAAATTTGCATATGAATAACAAAGATGTATGTAGGTGCATTTATGCTAGCTAAACACATAAGCTCATAGGTTAAACCTTTAAACCTGTGAAGGATTCAAAATTTTAGGAATTTCCAACACAGATTCCTGGGAAATTGATTTTAGAAGTTCTGGATAAAACCATGGTCACAACAGATGTAAAACGTTTGGGGGAGGGGGTAAGCATGGATCTTGCCTAAATATTATTGCTTCATTGAGACAGAATGGTCCAAATGGAGCCTAAAATGTGACAAATTTTGTCTGATTACAAGGGGAGGGGGGCAGCCAAAAGAATATTTACAATTTTTAGAGGGGCATATAGTAATTACAGCACTAATGGTGCTTTTAACTTTTAAAAAGGGTTACCATCCTTAAAGGACGCATCAATATATTAGAAATGATGCTTTGATGAGGAACAGAACAAAAATATAACATAAATGTGTTGGCAGTGTACTCAAGAAAATGTGCATGAATGTTAGGCACAAGGATAAGAAATTCTAAGGTTGTGAACTTTTGAAAATAATGTCAAATTTGGAGATTTTGCTGAAAAGGTTTCATGAAGGGAGGCTGTGAAACTTTTAAACAAAAGCAAAGAGACAAGTGGGCGGGTTTTGAAACCTAGAAAAGGCTGTTGAGTCATGATAGCTTTTGGTCCATACAAATACAAATATATTGATAAAGTCATAGATATGGGTTTTAAAATGAGAGGATATATATATGATTTTAAATATGGGGGCCAGGGGAAGGATAGAAGGGGGAACAGGGGCTTCAAATCAAAGAAGAACAGACCCAGAAATTTATTACTTCAAAGGGGTATAATATCAGTTTATGGATCTATCAAAATGGAGCAGGGACAGCAAAAGTGGGGTTGAGGGGGCTTAGCCCCAATTCTTCTAGAAATTTACTAAAAGTCATACAATGAATCTTTTTGCACTTGGCTATCCATGTAGACCCCCTCAAAAAAATATTCATCCCCTCAGTCTGTAATATGCACTAAGGTTCTTCAAGAGAATGAGTTATAGGCTTGAAATAAAGATAAACAAACTATATATATAATAAACAATGATTATTACCTCATAAGATCTTGTGAAACACTTGATAATTTTCTCGCTGATTGTAACGATGTCGGGTCGCTGCCTTGCCTTGCATGTAAGACATCAACAGAATGCCTCTGGACTTTCACAATCCGATCATTTAAATTCCCTCTACCTTCACTTCTTATCGTGGGTTTGTCTCTCGAAGCAATAGTGTCTCTGTTCATCTTGCCAAATTCTGGACACGATTTATTTTCAATGGATCCTGAAGAACTTAGCTTTATTCTTCTCAAATTTGTACTGTCGCTTGTTCTTGAGTACCTGTTATTTGTACTGAGCTTCTCCTCTTCGGAATTACTGCTCAAATCTAACTTCGGCACAGTAACTTCTCTCGGAGTATTCGCACTACTTTCATCGAAGGACCTGATCACAACTCTTGCCTTTCCTTTCCCATCATTATTGACTTTTCCATCAGAAATTCCTCCATTTCTGCCGCTATCGTAACTTTTCGACACAATTTTTATATTCGTTGGCTTCAATTTAGGCCGAGTTTGATCGATACTTTCACTTCTATGGAAAACCTCGCCGTCTTGTTTATTTCCACATAAAAAACTCCGATCGGTTGAGGTTTTTACAAATCCATTAACAGTCACCCGTTTCCCACTGGTATTTCCTTCTGTTTGCTTATCTAATCTTGGTTTTTCACAAACATTTCGACCTGATAAATTATTCCCAGCGGTGACTCTTCCCCTCAAACCCTGGCTGTCTTCAGCAACATCCTTCCTGGGCGAGACAACTTTCTGATTGCGGCCAATCTCATCTCCTTCAAGATTCCTTCCACAATTGACAAAAGCTTTTTCATCATTTCTTTTCTCTTTTAACAAAAGCTTTCCACAAAAATCCTTAACGTCATCATTCAAATGTGCATTACTAGCTATTGAAATTCCAATGCCTTTATCAAAAACATCTTCTTGTCTCTTCAATTGTCCTGCGTATCCAAAATATTTCAAATTATCAACCCGTTGCCTGTGTTCATGGGGTTCATTTCGCGTGAAATCACTCCTTATTGAATAGGAACCATGTTTTTTCTTCACCTCACTGTTTCCATGCTGGAACTCGCTATGCATTTGTCTAGGCCCACTTGGATACTTGAAGTTTGCTGCCGAATAAAATTGCCGTGACTTCGCTTTTATTAAATTAACATGATAATCTCCATTTTCAATACCAACCCGTGCAACAGGATCAACTGGCCTGGCCATTTTTATAAATTCAGCGAGAAATTTGCCCCTACAACCTTCCCTTCCTCTTCACCGATCCATGTTTGTCAAATTTGAAATTCCAACATATTTTACTAAGGTGGTGCAGATTAAATAGCATATCCGAAATCGACTGTCCCTATCTTATGTTTACCCAGTTTCAAAGGGACTGTCCCCAACATCAACTTGTTAATCTATAAAAAATTCCAATGAAATGAGTAATTCGTTTATGAAACTGGAAAATTCTCGTGTCCCAGACATCGAGTTAAAAACAACGCTTTGTTTTAACAGTCCGCCAGCATTCCGCAACTTGCTAATGGATTTTGGCTCAAGAGAACTTTTAAGTTGTCTGATTTAATTGTGGGTATGTGGAAGCATGCTCTCGGAGTAGTCATTAAGATTCACACGAGGATACTGTAATTAAATGATATTGAATAAAATCAATGCATTCGTACGTATATTAATCGCGAACTGGGAGCATTTTGACTTTATTACAAAAATAGGGGAACGTGACCGAAGAATGAAGGTGGGATGGGTGACTAAAACAAGGGCCAAAATAGGGCTTTGAGTGTAGGGTCTAGAGGGCTGGTACATGACATCATCAGCTACCCTTGACAGTTATCTACTCCAGACCCCGTAAAAGCGGACACCCCATGTCCCATAAAAGCTTCTACCACATGTTTAAGAATGGCTGTCTACATGAAAGGACACAATTTTTTGACTTTCTGAGGAGGTTTTAAAATATTTCTAGAAAGTAAGATTCTTGATATAAACATGTTCACGTGTGCATAATTCCTCTTTTATTGTGTCCCGGGATGGTAACAAGATGCATCCTTTCTGTTGCAAACCCTACAATGCCCCGGCGCTCCATCTATCGAGACAATCTTACTGTAATTCCCTAAAATTTCGAATAGTTAAAAGAGATAATTAATTTGAAATTGTTCTAATTATCGATAACTAGATTACTTTATCCCAGCTGGCTCAATAATCCTTATCAGTTATATGGCCGTAAAGAGAAAACAATTTTTGTTTTGAAATCGCTTTTTTCCCAGACGTATTCAGGCTTATCTCCTTGCACCCATGAACTGTTGTCTAGTTAGAGGAACATGTGCGGCCAGCAGCCTTTGCGCGCACGCATTTCTTAAAAAGAAAAAGAAAAGTTTATAGAAAAGAACGCTTTGTATGAACCGAAAACTTCATTTCAACTTAAAGCCCTTCCCCCCTAAGATACTTGCAGTAATTGGACTCGCAACAGTATTGATGAGAAATAATTACAGCCTCGTTTGTACCTGTAAATATCCACAGGTCCCCTAAACATACACGCAATTCTAGACACTTCCTATCCCTCTCCCTGTTCCTTATCCCTCTCTCTGTTCCTAATCCCTCTCTCTGTTCCTTATCCCTCTCTCTGTTCCTAATCCCCCCCTCTTTTTCCCTTGTTAGGGCTTAGCTATACGGTCTTGAACCTTTCCCAGGCATTACCAACTATAAACATTGTCCATTGAATTAATCGGTGCGTAAAGAAACTTAGCTGTAACGAACTTGCACTATTACGAAATCTTTTTACGAGCCTATCGCTATTACGAAATCTTTTTACGAGCCTATCGCTATTACGAGACCTTTTAGCGAGCCTCTCGCTTTGTTGAACTTTTCTGGTACCTACAGAACTCGTATCAGCGGGATTCCACTGTTCAAAAATCTCAATTGCGAACTAAAAGTCTTTGAATATCATACCGGTTTAAAATCTTCCGCTCACTTTTTGTGTTTCCTTTAGCAAAATCACGTCTGTGTCCATATGCAGAAGCGCTACTCCTTTGTGACGTCACTTGTGCCCAGTTCCCTAACCTCATCTGCTAAATTCAAGGCATTTATCAAATTACATGAAACAGTTTGAGTAACAGAAATGGAATGTCAATTTAAGAGCTGCGATGAAATGCAACGCTTGTTGTTCTCACAATCTTCTCATAATTGCTAAGATCGAAATTATATTACATAGCTACAGGATAAACAAGGATTTATTTGATACAAATGTTTTTATTGAAAATGGAGGAGCCAAAAAGTGGCTAAGCGAATCTCTGTAGAGGCTATGGTCCTATTAGGCCCTCCTGTAGAAATGTCCCACAATATCTACGTTCTTCATCCCCATCACGCACTGGTCTCCAATGTGGATGATCTTTTGTCGTTCATAACCAATAACAGACCATTTTCGGCTTTTGGAATTCGTAAAGTTGGTGATGAAATCACAACGTGCTTAAGGGAATTTCTCTTCATGCATCGAAACTACAACTCATATATCTGTTCTTAACAACGAAGGCGTAAACGATGACGACGTAGAAGACAACGACGACGTTGAACACGACGACGCAGTTGATGACTGTGATACTGCCAATGACTTCAACACGGTTAAAGAGGACGACGACGCTGCTGATGTTTGTGATAACCTAAATGATAAGGAGTTGGATCCCCCAATGTATTTTGCATCATCGTTTTTTATCGTCGCTACTCGATCAACATCCTGGTTACCATCAACTTTGTCTTTGTCATCCCCGGCATATTGGTGATGACTACGTCTCCTTGAATCAGGCACCGTACAACCATTTGGCTAGCAAAGGCTATAGCCACTCCCCAATTTTGCAATAATAGGTTAGAAAACGTTTCGGGAAGCTCACTCTGACGCAGTTTTGGATAGTTAACTCTAACGGATTCTAAGCAGTAGCAGTTTTCTTGACTTGGAACCCCTTTTTGTTCATTTTGTTCTATCTTGTTTAATTATATGATGTATTTTCTAACTTGTTTAGCTTGGTGTTTTATCATCCCCAAGCTAATCTTACCTATTTTTATAGCTTTTGATATCTTCTCTGAATCAGACGGTTTATGAAAAATCAGTGGAAATAAGCAAATAGTTTCTAGTAAAAGAGGCGTTTTCCAGCGTTTTAGAGGGCGTGACCAAAAAATATTTGGTCAAATTTAAATTGGTGCGCGGTGCCTTTCGTGGATGAAGGCTTGGAACCCCTTTTTTCATGTTGTTTTACCTTGTTTAATTATATGATGTATTTCCTAATTTGTTTAGCTTGGTGTTTTATTATCCCAAAGCTAATCTTACCAATTTTTATAGTTAGTGATATATTTTCTGAGTCGGACTGTTTATAAAAAGTCACTGGAAACAAGAAGTATTCTCTAAAAGTAGTGTTTTTCCAGTGTTCTAGAGGGCGCGACCATGACAACAATAATGAATTTGATTATGATCATTATGATTGTTATAATTATGTTTAGAATGCTTTCTTTGTTAAGTGTTTCATTCTTGAAAAATATCATTTCTTTCTCCAGACAGTTTTTTGTTTCTTGTTTGGCTGATAAATTTTTAAGAAAGTTTGTGTAGGCGTTTTAATGAAGTAAACCTCAGAAAATAACTAAGGACTGGGTCATATGTCTCAAATGAAAACGACTAATCTAATTTAGCTGATACGCTGAATTTTATGATATAGACGATCCGCATGGGTTGTGAAGAGAGTGGATAAACAAGAGTAGCGTTCTATCCGTCTGATCTGTTCTGGAAAGATTCACAGGAAATGAGTCACACTGTCACAGCTACAAAGACAGATAGAATACTATGCGCCGTTTTGAATATAGAAAAATCCACGTGACACAAAAATCCACGTGACACAAACATTGCCAAAACATTATAATTCTGACAACAAGTAATTGTGATTAATCGGCAATGGCAGGATAACAGAAGTAATATATACACACATGGGCTCCGATACAGGTTGGAAATGTAATAGGACTGGAATCTAATCGCTAATTCATGCTAATTATGCTTGTGATAATCTTCCTGTTTGTATATATTGTAATCGCTGTTTAGAATCATTAGTCATTATAAGGCATTAGTCAGTTTCGAGTCTCAACACGAGTTGCACGCTATCGTCATCGCTTCTTACCGTATAGAGTACCGAAGTATGACGTCATAAAAAATCTATTTTTGGAATTTCTTAAATTTGGCCCCATAATCTGAAAGAACGGCATAAAATACCTCTCAATGTGCAAAATTAGCTAGATACGTTCCAAATTGGGCAAGATATGGCCAACAGAAGATTTGAAGTTTGCTAACGGATTACTGTTATTCTGGCCTGGTTCATAAAGTTATGAACCAAGACCAAATTATACAGAGGTTTGATGGGGCAAGAGCCTGTGCTCAAGTGGCTAAATCTCAGCCAATTCGTAGTGCCTTTAACTGATTTTGCATATTTAGAGGTATTTCATGATGCTCTTTTAGGTTCTGGGATCAAAATTCAGAAATTCTAAAAATATATATTTATGACGTCATCACTTCGGTACTCTAACCCTTAACCTGTAACAGTTACATAATTACATCATTACATAATTACAACAATACATACTATACACAAGCAACATAAATTATCATAAAGTAATGTAAACTAGCGTCCAGTCCTATTACAGAAAAGGGGGGCAATGGAAAATTTAACACCCAGAACAAGATATTTAACAAAGCTCTATTGTTTTGCAAAAAAGTGGGGGTTATGGCATCTTGGCCCCCTTCGTCAGTGCAAAAATAAAATTGAAAATTACGTCATCAACATACACCAGAAATATCTGTACTTTAACGCTGCTTTTGTGCTTATTCAAAGTCTAGTTTGAATTGAGAACTAAAGTTTAAGCTAAAAACGTTTTCAATGATATATCAGCTCTTGTTTCTGAATCAGGTTTTGGTGTTGCCACCCTAAAGAGGGGGTCAGTAGACCACAGACCCATACTTTTCAGCCGGGTTGGTTGATTTTATAGTAAAGCTGCATGATAACAAGACAGGGACCAATGATAAGTCCATTAACACTACCAAAGTCTACCCTAGGTTGGCTTAACCATTACTCAAAACTCTTAAAGACAGTGGTGTAGAGCTGGAGAATCACGGGGACTTAGCCCAATCTGTTAACACCATAGAAAATATCTTCCTTACTACTTGCTGTTGTCATTCTGGAAATCTTTTGAGAGGATCCCCTTGTTATTTTTATAGAAATACACCTATGTCTTGACTTTTGCTGCTGAGAAAAGTTTCTGTTTGTTTCGTTGCTAAGATGTTAATTTTTCTGTTGTGTTTTGAATCCTAATTGTGAAAATGAGGAGACTATGAATGTTTTCAAACCTTGTACAAGAAACTTTGATAAACTTCTTACAATCATATGTCATCCTCCAAGGGAAACCATCTTTTAATTGTTCATTGTTGGCTATGTTATTAAGCTGTATGTCTGGAAGGATTGAATTGGGCAAATCGTAGATCTAAACATAAAAAAATCATTGTTCAGTGCGGAACAATTATGTCGAACGAACTCAAATTCAAAACTACTTATTCAAACTTAAAGTTGTCATTTTGAAACACGTCAATTTGGATTCATGGCTCGATAGCTTGCCCAAAGTCCTTTCGATGTGTCCATCAGCCTAAAATTGTTTAATTTTCATTGCTGTTATTTAAAATATTACACTTAACCGTTCATTGTTATTAAGCCAAATTAACTTGGATATTGTATATTTAATATTAGTATGTTAACCAGTATATTATAATTAATCAATTTTATGCTGAAAAAAATATTTCGAGTTTGAGTTTGATAGTTGGGTTGGGATGAAGTGACGTAAAAGACTAGCCTCTTTTTTTACAGCCTCTCTCACACCCACAATCTTCATCTTGTCGCCATCATCGTCTGATTTTTAGGAAAGCCTCGCCTAAAAATTTCAGTCGAAGAAATAAGCGGAAAAAATCATTGCTTGACACATAAATGAGCCTGAATGGCAGAGAAGCCTGCGGAGATATCTGAATTGACCATCAATGGTGAGTTTTAAAATTCTCAGAGCGCCGATTTATGAAAAAGAAAAATATTGCTCGTTATATTATGCAGAGCGGATTGCTTGGAGTTCAGACAATGCTTAAATGTGCAGGAAGGGTTCGTTAATAGATGTTTTAAGGGTTGAATTTTCACGCCAAGACCCAGTTTTTTTGTATGGCCTATGAGTATCTATTAAGTCGGATTCAGGGTGAACTTCTTGGTTTAAAACATGAATTTTGTACAGAACTTTCGTACAAAAATATAAAGGGAGTTTATTTACAGAACGTCAACTTGATCACTGATAATTTGAAATTATCCATTTCTTTCGTTTCCTTAATTTTATTTCCTGAGCTTTCGAGTATCTGTGAATCAAGTTTATGCATTCGAATTTTTTTAAAAATTATATTAAAAAACAAAATTAGATTATTTTATTAAATAACACTTGATTTATGGCCTAATAATTATGGGTTTAGTATCATTAATTAGCCAACCTGGAACCAACAAGCAAATTTCATTTTAAGGCATAATAAATTTTAAGTTTTAAGTACAGTAATTGAAAAAGGGAACTCAAGAAAATTTTTAATTAAGTTTCAGAGAAAATTATATTTATATTATTGATTGGTTTTTTCATATTTTGTGCAATCTTAAGGATAAGAAAATTTTAGGAGCTGTACGGAAAGGGATGTCTTGAATACACGTTGTCCAGTGCGAGGTATTTTTTGTGAACCAGGAATTATTTCTGCCGCTTGTGCTTGTCAGGCAACAAATCATTTTGCAAAGAAGTGGGTTAAAAGCTACGGATTTTATTTTTGAATTGCATTTGTAAGCCTCGTGGTGAGGCTGTACGCAGATATCAATGCTGCAACTGCACGGATTAATATGAATTTAAAAAAATGGGCTGACAGGATTTGCACTGGAAACAGAAACAGGTAATATAAAAAATTATTACACTGGGAATGTGTCACCTGTGCATACTCTGACATTGCAGTCTGGTGCATTGTAAAGTACTGGATTCCACAAGTTTTTTCCATCATTAAGATTTTTGCCAGAAATTTTGGTATCCACTCATTGTAAGTTGACATCAAATTCTCCAGTTTCCGAAAGTTTTTAGAAATCTAAATACTCATTGTTTCTTAAAAACTCTTTATCACAGTGTCATTGATTTTAACATTAGGGGCCCTATTTTAATTATTCATGCCAGGAAATTTTCCCTCAGGAATGGTTGGGGAGGGTTTTAGCAGCTGCAAACAACAAGATTCATTCGTGATTCCATTGTTTTCAAATGCTCGTTAGATTTCTGTCAAGAACTTTGCACCTTTATTCAGGTCCTCTGCAGTATGTGACGGAGCTGCAATGGCTCCCCTGTGTAACTGGTAAAAGAGAGGGGCAGTGTGGGTGAATGACTCGGCCTTGGGTGTTAGCTTGAAAGCACGACCCAATGGCTCAGCGGTAGAGCACTTGACATACAATGTCAGGGGTCATGAGTTTGAGTCTCGCTCAGGTCGGTTAGTTTCCTGCACTCTACTAATTATCTTTGTACCTGTTTTTATGCTTTGCCTAGTGGAGGGGAGTGTTTAAACTAGTACAAACCAGCAAATAAAAAAAAAACTTTACAAAAAATGAAAGAAATCATCATCATTATCATCATTTTATTATAGTCAGGATGTTTCCCTTTTCAGGAGGTCACTGACTTTCCTTTCATGATTTGGTGTAGCTTTTCCACTTCAATTGGCTGTTCTTGTCCTCAAAGGTCAACCCAACTCTATGACACTCTTTCTTCATCATTTCTTTCCAACTCAGCTTCGGTTTTCCTCTACTGCCTTCAATCTCCAAATTCCATGCCTGTTTCACAAAGTCATCCTTGCTTAATAATTTCAACAATTGTGTACTCCAGTCCTAATCTTTCCATCAACTCTCTTTTATTTAGTCTATCAGCTAATTTCACTCCACACATCTTTGAAATCATCAGAAAGATATTTCAAAATATGCCAGTGGCCTAGATTCTTCAAAGTTCTTCATTGGAAAGAACTTTGATGGGAAGTAAATAAAATGCAGTATTGTTGTTTAATTGTTTTCAAGTTTCCATTTGCTTTACGTTGCCCCTGTAACTTCAAATTCCCCCCTTTCCCCCCAAAACGATATTGGATGTGTAGTTCTATCATCTGCTCTAACATGCATTCAACATTGATTGGGGAAGGGATGACATTTTTGAAAGGAAAGGGAAATCGTCAAATTTTCCTGAAAACAGTGCCTTGTCAGCTTTTTTATGCTAGCCTTATTTCCTCTAAAGACCTTTAGGCCAAAAAATTATCCATAAATTTTGTAGAGGAAATATTTTCTTCTTCAAGACTAGATGGATTAATCCTGACACAAAAAGTGAAGAAAAGGCGTAGAGCCTTGATATCTGCAATGCCTGCCAAAAGTACTTGGAACACCCACCAATTTACGCTGCATTTGATATCTTTCATTCCTTTCATGAAAAAAATTTGCTACTTCCACCCCCTTCCCCCTCAAACAATGTTGATGATTTAGAGAAATATCATAAAAGAAGCGCAAAAGAAAGTGCTTCCTAAAATCCTAATCCGTTTGATAGTAAACCAACATTGTTCCGTGGGGGAGAGGGGGATGATTGGTTTTGACCTTGGAAATTGATGTCAGTGTTCCAAGACTTTTGGCAGGCGGATTAATCCTGACACAGAAAGTGAAGAAAAGGCGTAGAGCCTTGATATCTGCCTCTTTAGATAACTTGGGGAAAAAGCTGATGTTGCAAATATCTTAGCATTAAGATGATACTTGCATCCAGTTTTGAAATGTGCATCTATTAAATTTTTCATAATATTATTTCCAAATGTGATGCCTTGAGTATATAATAAAAATATTTTGGGAGTGGTTATTTCCATAGGACCTAAACACATTCTTTCTACCTATAGTATTTTTCACATTATCATTGCTAAAGTAAGATTTTTCTAAAGTAGGAAAAGTTTTGCTGGCCTAAAAAAGTCTTTTTCTGCTGTTGTGAACTGATGTGTTTATTGGACTGATGTTGTGTACATTTGATTCAAAGAGTTTGACATGGCAGGGGATTTATTGTATTAATGTTATTTCAAAAGATATTTTGCATAAATATCATTGATAATTGATGGTTATTAATTTTTCTCATAATGTTTTAATACACATGACAACTACTTACTTTCATTGTTTCTGGAGTTTTGTGTTTTAAAGAAAATTAAGATGAAAATTTTAATAATTTGTGTTGAAGCATGTCAGTTGTTTCTTCGGTCTTCCCAAATGCTATCACCACTATACTCTGGAAGTTATAGAAGATACATTAAGTCAAATTTTATATCCTTGACAATTTGCTCAATGAGTCACAAGTATTTCTCTGTTAGGATTGTGTAACATCAGCAACATTTCATAAAGCATTGTTTGACCTGTTTTGCAAAGAATCTGCCATTTTGGTTTAGTGGTGAGAACATGAGGTTTTTAAGTCCGATCTTGTGGTTTAAGAAACCAATAATCTGGTCGATATTCACAGTCAAACTTCTAGAATATAAATAATTAGTGATATTCGGCAACCAATGAACCAATAGTTATCAAAATTGAAAAGAAACTTCCTAATTGCCATGTGTTTTACAATATTTAAATCTGTATGATGTACTAATCTTTAAGATCAAACTTTTTTCTTGAACATGGTAAAACATTTGCTACGTTTGATAAGGCTTCCATTTTAATAGAAGCATTCTTTGTCTGCATTTTTTACCACTTTCTTCTCCGAAAAAACTGCATTTTGAATTGAGATAACCTTTTATCAAATTTATTTCCATTCATTGCAGATGGACACGATGCACAAGAAAAAGAAAAATTGGAAGATAATAGCTTGGTAGGTTACAAATAATCTGAATTGAGTTGTAAAGTTAATAATCTGAATTAGGATTGCATAAACAGATTGCAGTAGACTGAATCTTTAGCACTAAGCATGGATTAAGTGTTATGAATAACATGTAGAGCTAATATTACTACAACAGTATGGTTTAGATTTAAATACAAAATAGATTTGGTGTAAGGATTATGCTCAGTTTAGGATCAGTAGTTAAGATTATGATTGGATTTTCTTCAAGTATTATGGTAGGATGTTAGATCACTGCTGGATTTTGACGGCCTCTATCAAGGACATAGAGTATTTTATTTTATTACTGTTTAAGCTTTTTGTAAGAAGAAGCATTTTGAAGTTGATAAGACACAATCTTTCTTGGACTCTCCTTCAGGACACTTTCATTGAATGAGCTGGAAAATTTTATTGTTTAGTAATGTTGTGTAATTAACTGAATCATTAAAAATTCTATCACTTTTTTGGGTTGGGGTCCCCAATCTTCATGTCAAGTTTGATTTGTTTTAATATTTTTTGTAGCAGGGTGCTACAGGTAGGAAGGTTTCACAAATTGCAGATTGTAAAGGATTAGAATTTTCAGCATGTCAGCAAATTTTTGAATTTGCTTCATCTAACTCAAAAACATGAGGCTAATCTATGTAGTATTTATTTTTGTCAGTTCTAATTATCTTTTTGCTATTTTTATAGTCTCTCGAGAGAAAGGACTCTCTAAAGCAAAAAACATTGAAGAAGCGAGGCCATTTGAGAGTTAAGGAAGATGGCCAGACAACGTACAAAAGGGTAAGGATACTTGCCAAATAATTTTTTGAATTGTTAATTAAAGCAGAAAGAAGGATGAAGGGACATGCAGTTGAGGGGACAGGGAGATAAAGGGTCAGGGTTATCATATGGGGGGGGGGGTTTGATGATGGCAGTTGGAAATGGACATGATGGGAATAATAAAGGGAATTAAGATGGTAGTGGTATGAAAAGGGGAAGTGGCAAGGCAAGGGGTGATGAAGGCAGGAGATGTACAGGGTAGGAGGAGCGGTAAGTAGGGCAGGGTTGAAGGGGTGAAGTCTTCTGAAACTTTCATTATTTTGATAATTGTTTGTTGTATATGCTAGCTTTCATGGTTTACCTTTGCCTCTAAAAACTTTCACCTTATGACCTTTCACCCAATGACCTTTCACCCTTACCACAATGACCTTTCACCTTTCGTTTTTTGCAGACATCCAGCTCGGCTATTATGGCAGCAATTCAACTGGGTATTGGATATTCGGTGAGCCCTTATAGATAACATATTTACTGAACAAAACAACAGGAAATGGTTTCTTTTCGAAATTAGCCAGGCAAAAATCTTGTTATTGGTTGTACTTTCGGCACAAAGAAGAATGATGAAAGTGTGGGAATGAACTCTAAGTTTACTGTTGTTGGACCAGAGCCTACATTCGTTGTAAGGAGGCCACGCTTATCGTAAACGCTTAATAGTTTTTAAATGTAGAAAATCTTTCCAACACAATGATTTGTCCGTTGCTTGGATTTGTAAATGGCTATGAGGCTTTAGTTAATGAATGCTTTTACATTGGCAAAATATTTTTGGGAAACAGGATTTCTTATAGGTTGTCTCAAGGTGTCCATTACTTTAGGTTGTCCGTTACTGGTACAAAGGTTTGAAGTAGGAGAGATAACCAGAAAAAAACAATTGGTCCGTTGTTTAGTCTTGTCCGTTTTTGGCAGATTTTCTTGTTTTTTGTACATTAAGCAGCTTGGTACCAGAACGAAAAGCTTTCAGTAATGTCATTCTCGTGTATAAGGGACCATCCTAAACAACGGACTGATTTCCCATCCCGAAATCTGTTTTCTAGTTGCAAAAGTATTGAATAGGAAAAACCTCAGGACAATTGAAAACTGCTTACTTTGGACAGTATCCCGAATCTTAAAAAAACATCCGTTAGATAGAGAAGCCATTGAACCGGTCCATGTTTTACACCTCCACAGCCTATAGTAAGTACTCTGTATGTTCCAAGTTTTAAAGGTCTTTGCTCTGTTCACAGGTGGGTCGACTGACAGCTAAGCAAGAGAGGGATATTCTGATGCAGGATTTTAGCTTCGTAGAAAAAGTCTGGTTTCCATGGTAAATATGTCTCTACGTGAAAATCCCATTTTCATGACAAGCTACTCTCACCTTCAGCTCTGACAATTTGGAAGTCAAAAATCAATGAATTTTCCTGCTCAGATATACGCTATGCAAAAGAGCGCTAGTTTCAAGCTTAATGTGATCACCAGGCATTTTGTATGCTTTTTACTAGAATATGTGTGTACAAAACATATTGACCAATGAAAATTACAGTTTACCAGCTGTACTCGCTTTTAGTGCATAGAACAGGACGGTTCTAAGTTGCTACTACAAGTTTCACGCTTGATGTGATCACCAGGCAACTGTAGACCCTGAGTCAAAGCTTGCTATCAGTGGCGGACATTTGGGGGGGGGGCGAGGGGGTGACCGCCCTCAATACTTTAGAGGACAATGGTCTTTTATTCTAAAACAATAGGAAATGTGACGTCATCTTATTAAAACAATAGGATTGCCCCCCAATATTTGACCAAGTGTCCGCCCCTGCTTGCTATTCCAGCCATTGAGATTAGACTTTGTTGTCCCTTTTTTACTTCGCTTGGGCTGTTCAGTCTCAAGACAATTTCTCATGGATTTGCAAACAAGTTTTTAGAAAAAAAAATTACCATTGGACGGAAGTTAGTCATATACCAGTGAAACTGGATTTTTTTACTGTAGTTTAAAGCATTTTATCCAAGGTTTATGATTGCATATAAAAATTCATATTTTTAAAACTTAAAATCACTTTAATCTAATCAATTAACAGGCTGAATATATGGTATAATTCTTTTTTATGATTTCCGTAGATTTCATATTTATTCTTTGCCTCAAAAGTAAACGAATTTTGTTTAACTTTAAAAGGCTTTATTAAATATTGAAAGTAACAAAGTATCAGCTTTCAGTTTGACCGAATTTACTCCTTTTTTATCATTTTTCTCATTTTTCTTATTTTCTGTTCTTCTTGACTTGACTTGAAATGAATTATATTTCATTCGAGTTTTGATTGAATTGAATCTTTCTCCTCCCCAGCGCCGGCTCAAGAGAAACCCCGTCACATCGATTCAATGATTTCAAATTCAAGTCATATGCGCCAAGCGCTTTCAGGTGGGTCTGTTCTCTATACCTTATAATACTAGTATAAGAATCTCTATGAAGGGGAGGGGGTGGGGTATGTTGCACACCCTAAAAATACGTTGGTGTTGTCGACTATTCCTAAACAGTCATAGAATATTAAAATTGTTTTGCCATTGATGTAAATAATATTTTCTATCAATTTATTCTTAAAGATGTGTTTTTATTAGGTTTGGATTAGCTTCTTATTAATGTACCCTGCCTACTCTATATAAATTTATAAAATATCTAAACGAGAAATTATCAACAATTCATATGACTTTTGGACAATATTCCTCATGCTTTGTACAAATCATTGCTTTCAAGCCGTTTACTTTCATTAGCGTTTTCATATATGCGCTTGAACACGGTTCATTTTTGATAATAGCCGGAGCAAGACAAACTTAAGGCCACGTAGAATCCAAATTGCACTCTTTAATCCACAGGGTTGTATGAGAATAAATCTGTTATTTTAGACGCAGGTTTTTTACAAAAGTAATATAAAAGAAGTTTTAACGAAGCAAAATTGGATCCTGCAACCCTGCCTACTCTAAAAAAGTGTACCATCCTTGCCAAAAATAGTTAGAACACGACATTTCCTTACGTACAAAAGTTGGCCTTCCCAACATGAAAATCTGCGGTGTTTTGGTGTAGATGTTGCAACAATTTCGATCAAGATTCTAGCTTGACTTCATATTTATATAAAGTCTGCATTTTATATTATGTATGAATTTGCCATTTCAAATTATCATTAGTATTTATTTATGTATTTACATTCTGCAGATACTTTAGAGACCTATTCGGAATGCAACCTAGCGATTTTCTGGTAAGTGGATTTGAGTAATCTGAATCTAGATTTGATGGTATGGGCCATCGGAGACTAGATTCAGTTAGCCAGAGTTTAGATTAATCGGTGATCTTCAATAAGATTAATTGTTGTTGGAGACTGGATAGAGTTCTCTATCCGAACACCAACTGTTTTTTCTTTAGCTTCTTAATTCACAAAATTTCAAGAAGTTTAGGTGAGGTGGGGTACCGTAAATCCTCGAAATGGCCCCCCTCGAAAAAGCCCTCCCCTCGAATAAGCCCCCACTCTAAAACTACAAACTGTCAATAAGTCCCCCCCCCCTCGAATAAGCCCCAACTGCTACCGTATTTTCTCGAATCGGACCCCTCAATTTTACTGTTTTTGCCATCTGAGGTTGCCTATGGCGTTTTATTGAATTACCACGACAAATTCGTATTTTTGGTAGTAATTAATTAAATGCTCATAAAGAAATTCCTACTTAAATAAACGAGGTCTTTTAATAATGTCTTCTTAATGTCTACAATAATTTTAAAAGCCTTCCCCTCGTATAAGCCCCCCCACTCGTATGTGCCCCCCTCTCGAATAAGCCCCCGTCCAAAAATATCAAAAATAAATAAGCCGCCAGGGGGCTAATTCGAGGATTTACGGTATCTTATGATATTCAAGGGTCTTTGAAAACAGTGGGATCGGTAGTAAAATTTTGTACGCGAGTTGCATATACTTATCTCAAGTGCCAGTATTCTCATATACAATCTGTTTGTTCATAACAGATGGCCTTGTCGAACGAAGAATTGAGGGAGCTGGGTAACCCAGGAGCAAGTGGCTCGCTGTTCTTCCTCTCAGCAGACGATAATTTCATCATCAAGACAGTCCAGCATAAGGAGGCGACGTTTTTACAGCAGCTACTGCCAGGGTATTATATGGTATGTGTTGTATATGAAGCTTTTCTCATCGTAAATGCCAAGCTTACGGTATTTTGTCCTCAACTGTATAACTCTGCTTCTTTCTATTCCTATATAACCGGAAAGCTATTTCGTTGATAAGTTCTTTCTTTTCTTTCTCAATACTCCCCCGTTAGATTTTCTGTTTTTTATCCACGATTTTGAATTCCCTGTCCAATGTCACTTTTTTCTATCATCGACTCCCTTCATTTACAAATTTCTATTTTTATTCTTTTCCAAAATTACTTCCCCTCTTCTCTTTCAACTATCCTATTTGTTTTTACTGAAGTTTCCTTTTGATGTAACAAATTCCTTGCCCCCTCTTCAATCTTTACCCGTCTTTTTCCTCATATCTGTTTCCTTCTCTTCGCTCTCTCGTTTCACTCCCTCTAACCCTTAATTTTTACAACGCCTTGCCCCATCTTTACCCATCTTTGCCATTCTTTCCATTCCCTTCCTTTAGGTTTCCCCCATTTTTGCCTTGATGTAACTTTATGTTGCTTCTAAATTCACTGCAACGTCGCCCTTTACTCGGAACTAGGGGTGTACCGGATCAGGATTTTCAGAATCCGGCCGGAACCGGATTTACCGGATTGCTTCGTAGAAAATCCGGCCTGATTTTACCGGATAATCTGGCCATTTATGGATTTTTCAGTAATAAAAAGTTTTGAGCCACTTTGCAAAAAAATGTATAGCTAGAAGATCAAAGAGACCCATTCAGGGTTGCCAGATTGAATTTACAAACGAAGGCTAGACTGGTGAGCAATTTAAGCCAAAATTGCTTAATATTTTGCGTGAAGCGTGAAGCTCGGAGTACCTATTTAGGCCTGTCCTGTTCTATAAACGAAATAGCATAACATATCTCTTAAGTTGATAACATTGTTGACATCATCAAATTTGTTGACATCATATTTTGATAAACGGTACATCCCTACTCGGAACCTTCCAATTTTTTTAAATCTGAAAATTCTTTACTTCATTTACCCCATATTTACCCCATGTTTTCCCCCAATTTGTCTCTATCAGAATCTTCATCAAAATCCACGAACCCTGCTACCAAAGTTTTTTGGTTTATACTGCTACCAGGTGCGTTTTTCTCAGACTTCTTTTGGTCACCATAAATTATGCATGATTTCGTAATTATGTTTAGTGAAATATTCATCCATAATTGTATATTTATGCAACATGAAGTAATTATGCATGGCTATTAAGTTAATCACATTTTTGTAAATATTTCGTTATCATTTCCTGAATGTTTAGTCATTCTTTTTCATTTTATTTCGATTTACTAAAAACATGATTTAGGGTACTTTAAAGGCCGGCAAAGAAGGTTGCAAGGAACGAAGAGTAAGGGAAATGAAGTGAGATGAGATTAGAAGGGGGGGGGGGCGCGTGAATGGAAGGAGAGGGGTGAAGTAAAAGAGGGTTGCAAGAGGGTTTCTGTCTTCTAAGTTTCTGTAAACAGCATTTAAGCTTTTATTTTGGAATTAATTTATCAATTGCTATTACATTACATTTGCCTAAAGTTTAATAAACTCATTATTATCATTGTCAAAATATATGACGTTTAAACTCTGAGAGGGTGTCATTTTTCATTTGCATATATGCATAATGTTGTCTGTATAACAAAGTACTCGGGCTGTGCTCTTAAATCGCGCCAAGTTTCTGTCCTTTCTTAACTGTCTCTCGATGTCTCTTACTCCGTGTTGTCTGGTGATCACATTAAGCGTGAAGTTCGGAGTACAAATTTAGGCCTGTCATGTTTTAAAAACGAAATAGCATAACATATCTCTTAAGGTCATTGTTGACATCATCTAAGTTACAGTAGAATCCTGTTACAATGTACTCGGTTATTACGTACTTTCGAATATAACATACTGGTGTGCTTGGTCCTGGCAAAAGGTGTGCTTGGTTTTAATCAACTTTTACTTACCCCCGTTACAACGTACTTCGGATATACACTGGACCCTTAAAGTACGTTATAACCGGATTATACTGTATATGCCTTTATCAGCCGTCTCTTGATGTCTCTTACAGTCGCAAAATGTCAATATTCGCTTGGTTGTCATGAACAACATTCTTCCGACCACATTTCGCTGTCACCAAATATATGACCTAAAGGTAAGTAAATCCGTGAAATGCTTCTACCCTCCTCTGTAAACATGATAAGTAACTTTGCAATGAATTGACTTCGTGCAGGGACCGTGAAGCATATTTCAGATTGAGGGGGCTAAAACATTTTGGGGGCTAAAAATGCTAAAAACCAAGAGCAAGGCGCTTTTTGTGTGGTTTTTTAGTATATTTTGGAATTCTTTTGCGGGAGGGGGGAGCTAAAGCCCTGTAGCCCCCCAACACTTCCACGGTCCCTGACTTTTTGTAGTTATGTCAATCTAGTGATTATAGTCTCTGTCTAACTCCCGTGTTACTGTCACATGTCTTGTTTTGTCCTGTGTAGCTGATGAACGCATGTTCATGGCAGAGTTTTTTTCAGCAAGTTGTAGCATAGGTTCAGTATTGTTTGTTAATTTCTTTCTGTTAATATTGTTTTGATATCGTTCAATGAGTTTCTACCCTGGAGGTTTCTAGCAAAGAGTACCCTTTGCGTGTTTTCTACTCAGAGTGTAGGCCCATTTGCCTAGCCCACATACCGTCATAAGAAGTTCTCTTGAGCTTTGCTTTTTCAAGTATTTTTCAACAAGCTTAAAGGCCCCTGAGCAACCAGCATGCTTTGCAGTATGGGTTATTTTACACGAGAGGAAATGGGCTGTATTTTGTAGTTCTATGCAGTACGAAATTAGGCCAGTTTTGAAGATATTTTTGTTGAAATTATTCAAAGCATTTCGGTTGGCAAGGAACTTTAAAAATACATATAAAAGGAAGTGAAATTGCTCTTTACTTTGCTTAAAGTAACTGTTTTGTTTTTAAAAATCGCGACTTAAATATCTTTTTATCGTTTAGTTATAATAATTCTTTTGTAACCCTCTACATATTCTTATCTTTTGCCTATTGTTTTGAATACTTCACATCAATTTAATGTTTCCACAGGGATCGACATTCAAACGAAAAGCTTCCAAGTCAGAGCTAGCCAAGAAAACCCCGACGAAGAAAGATTTAGACTTTCGGACAGATTATTCAGAGGTAACTCTCAATTCATATTTCTCCTATATCAAATTTTTATGTTTAGTTTTAATGATCGAAATATTTAGTGTGTCAGAAGGACGATGCGTTTGATAAGGGTAGTAACAACGTGAAAGGAACAATCCATTGTAAGTTAGATTTAATCTGAAGAACTCAAAGATTTAAAAGTAATGTACAAGTATTTATATATCAATATTAATGACTTTAATATATCAATCACTAGAATTTATTTTCTTTAATTTTTTCTCTGCATCTCTTAATTTACTTTTCTTGTTTGTGAATTAGTCTTATGACCTATGAGCTATGACGCGTGACCTATGACCCATGACCCATGACTCTTACCAATCGTTTTTTGGACTTTGACCTACGATTGTTTTCATTGCTATTAGGGTCAAGCATTTATTACCAGACATTCGCTAGTCCCACTCCAAACAGGTTATATTAATTCCAATTGTCTTTTAGGGAATCATATTAGAGGCAGAAACACACGATCTTGTTATGAAAACCATAAAAAGAGATTGCAGGGTATGTTTTTATTTTCATTTAATCTGTGATTCCTAAACTTCAGGGAAATTCGGCACTGTTTCAATTATTATTATTCTAATCTAAATTGCTATAATCAAAATTATGCTTTTTAACTTATATAACATCCACCACATTTATAAACCATCGTGCATAGCAACAAGACCATGTGTTAAGTTTTCACCCTTTTTTTCTTCTCAAATACAGGTCTTAGAAAGCTTCAAAATTATAGATTAACATATATCTATCACATTTATATGATATAATGGGATATTAAAATATAATTGTTCATCACATTTGTACAATAAAACCCAAAAGCAACACAGCTTTTTTAATATTATTCGTATTTTTTCTTCTCCGATTTAGGTCCTAGAAAGCTTCAAGATTATGGACTATAGTTTGCTACTGGGTATTCACAACATGGACCAGGCTATGCGTGAAAACGTACGTTTTCTACCTAAATCCTCTTAATCCTTGCCTGATGATCACATTAAGCGTGAAACTCGGCGTAGCAGCTTAGAACCGTGCTGTTCTTTACACCAAAAAAGGGTGCTAATCTTTTTATAAACACGTTAAATCGTTTGGTTGCCATACATCATCACGTGCTCAATCTTTCCAAGTCTCCTTGCCAAATTCACAAACTATGTCCCACAAAAGATATTTTTCTCCGAGATTGTAAACTTCGGAATGCTTTACACTATTCAAATGTTTTTTTAACCTGTCTACTTTGAACATAAGAATAAAAAACACTTGACCTCATGTATTAAAAAAAAGCTTTGGGCTATTGTTTATAACTGACAAATCATAGAATTAGCCAATCTCCCAGCACTGATGGTGTTTTGTCTGCTTGATGTGGACTTTCGCAGAGAATCGAGGAATAGATTGGGGTTTGCAAAGAACATTTATGACGTTGCTGCCTTTTAATATATCCATCTGGCTGTCCAGATGAAAAACCACAAGCAAGTCTTAAGCTTTTTTCTGTATCACAGTCTTCTGTGTTCTTTAATGTGGTTTGTACAATAATAGAGGTAGAAAAAGATATTGTCTAGAAAAATATCACCTGTCAATTCATATTATCCAGCGTTCTTTTTCAACGAGCATTAGCTCTAAGTATTGATCAAGCTTCTGTTCCAATTGGAGTGCGATAAACCAATCAGAATCCAATTTATCTAGCGAAGTAAACAAACAGCGCAATCAGATTCAGCACAGCATGTTTCTGTCTAGTTTCTATCCTGGATTTCTCAATAATGCATGTTTCGTTCTTATAGGAGAATCTGTCGCCATCTAACGATGCTCAAGAAGAGGAAAACCCTGGTATGGTATTCCCCTTTTTTATATAAGTCCTTTATGCCACATGATTATGTTTTTGTTTAAAAGTATCTACGTGTTTCATTTGTAATCGCAAACTTACGTACACTACAGTTCACTTCATTTGACAACGAGAGGGAAGAAGCAGCACTGAAATTTCGGACGAAGGCCCCAGAAAAACGTTGAAAACTTTTGCTTTTCAAATCTCTTTATAACTGCAGTCAGCTGCCTCCAAGTATCTCCCACTGGAAGTGTTCATGCTCTTTCACCTGGCTGCCCCCTGGATTCTATTAATCTATTGTCTATTAACAATAGCTTTTTTATTGTTTTGTTGTATTGTCCAATTATTGGGGTTCCATTCTATTGTCAATTGCCTATTGTTTGTCTTATTTTCTATTGTTTTGAGTAATGCCACATTTTTTGTTTTGCAGAGCGAGTGGCAAGACGTGCTGAATTCGGTGCTGCTCTAGAAGCCATCCAGATTGACAAGGTTGAAGGAAGGCCGTGAGTTGATGCTTTGAAATAGCACTTGACACACCGTGTAGCCTTCACTAAAATCAAATTAGATTCATTGCCATGACTTGACAAGACATTGACCAGACCAGACAATACTTTGACCAGACCAGACCAGACAAGACATTGACCAGACCAGACAAGACATTGACCAGACCAGACAAAACATTGACCAGACCAGACAAAACATTGACAAGACCAGACAATACATTGACCAGACCAGACCAGACAAGACATTGACCAGACCAGACAAGACATTGACCAGGCCAGACAAGACATTGACCAGACCAGACAAGACATTGACCAGACCAGACAAGACATTGACCAGGCCAGACAAGACATTGACCAGACCAGACAAGACATTGACCAGACCAGACAAGACATTGACCAGGCCAGACAAGACATTGACCAGACCAGACAAGACATTGACCAGACCAGACAAGACATTGACCAGACCAGACAAGACATTGACCAGACCAGACAAAACATTGACCAGGCCAGACAAGACATTGACCAGACCAGACAAAACATTGACCAGACCAGACAAAACATTGACCAGACCAGACCAGACCAGACCAGACCTGACCCGACCTGACCTGACCAGACCTGACCTGACCTGACCTGACCTGACCTGACCCAACCAGACCTGACTTGACCTGACCTGACCTGACCTGACTGGCTAGAGAAGTATACCTCATTTACCAAACTTCAATGAAATGCTGTTACTAAGTGCATACATTTCCTTTTAGCCTCGGTGGTATTCCAGCCAAATCGCCCAAAGGAGACCGACTTATCCTGTTTCTTGGTATCATTGATATCCTTCAAAGTTACAGGTGACCTTTGATCTTGCTTTGCTATTCTAATTGTCATACTCTTTCACTTAATCTTTCTCGTTCCTTGAATTTGCAATAGTTTGACATGATAGCTTGATGATTGACATACTAATAGGCAAAACAACGGAGTAGAGGGCTAATGATTGACAGCTATACTTTTTAGCCGCGATTTTGCTTAAACATTTCCAGATTGATTGACATGATGGCTTTATGATTGACAAACTGAAGGGCAACACAATAGAATAGCAGGTTAATGATTGACAGCTAGGCTTTCACCTTTCACTTTGCTTTGTAAAGTCTAAGATTGATTGACATGATAGCTTTATGATTGACAAACTGAAGGGCAACACAATGGAATAGCAGGTTAATGATTGACAGCTAGGTTTTCACCCTTCATTTTTCTGTATAAAGTCTAAGATTGATTGACAAAATAGCTTGACATGGTTGAGGGCAACACATTGGCCCAGGAAAACGAAGGTTGCAGCTTCCTTATTTTAGCCTATTATTTGCCAATACGTCTTCTGATTGATTGATGTAGCAATCGATTCCCCTTAACTTGTTATTATTGTCTCTAGAATGGCCAAGAAACTAGAGCATGGATGGAAGTCTTTGATTCACGATGGGGTATGTTAGTTATTTAAAAGCTACGATCAAGTAACACGTGTTACACCTAGTTACTACCATGTTTGATCATAATAACAAGCTGTAAGTTATATAATATTTACATAACCAGTTCCGTGGACGTTTTGAAAACTGAACTTGAGTCCTGAGGATGAAGGTATGATTGAGCACTTGTACTTGGTCATTTTCTGCAATGTTCTTGACTTGCAAAGTATTTTCACCATGGAAACAAATATATGGGCCTAAATATAAGCTAGTCAGAATTGCACTTTAAACCCCCCCCTATCTATTGGACGCCCCCCACCAGTAAATGCCCTCTATTAACCAAATTTGCTACGTACAATCTCATAATCGCCCGTGGCTATTATTGGAAATATTGCAGAAAGAGCAGTTACCTATTTTACCTCGTTTTTTATATGCAATGTTGACAAAGACATGATCATAAAGTCATTTCGAAATAATAAAACACCCGTGCATTGGATAGATCAAATACGATATTAATCAGGTGAAAGGATTCTCAATGTTACGTCACATCATGCACAAAGTCAGCTGTAGTTAGCTGTCAATCAAAATCAATGCAACCAATCAGAGTCGCTTAGGGTCCAGTTGGTGTCAATCACAGCCAGTTAAAGCGTATCTGACCAGTAAATTTATTCCAATAATTTCCCAAACTAATCTGTCTTTCTAGTTAAGTAATCTATCTTTCTAATTAACTAATCTATGTTTCAATTCATTCCGTTTTCAGGATTCTGTTTCTGTCCACAATCCTTCCTTTTACGCAAGGAGATTTATCAATTTCATGGGGGAGAAAGTCCTCAAAAGAGGATCACCAGGTAGCTGTGTTTTTTGGTTTACTATAGTATTCAAGGGGTAAACCATTGTAATGAAATAGTTTACTTTTGTATTCCAGTGGTAAATTATTGTAATCCAATGATTTACTATAGTATTCAGACGGTAAACTGTTAGGGATGGGAAAGCTGCTTGTCCTAACTTCCTAAGACTGTCTTAACCGTTCATTGTCTTATTTAATGTGCAGGGAACTCAGAATCAGAGACTCGAGTAGTGTAAAGATGAAATTTTTTGTAAATCTGAACTGAAATGTCTTGACGAATAGAGATACTTGATGAAAGAGTGACCCATTTGTTTACCATAGTTCCCCATTGGCTTACCACAGTTACTCCTTGGTATACCATAGTTTCCCATTGGCTTACCACAGTTACTCCTTGGTATACCATAGTTTACCATTGGTTTTTCCTTAGTTATCTTTAATATAAGTAGCAATGTCGCTTAATTGGTCTGGTTCTAAGTCGAGTTTAGAATAAGAACAGATGATATTCCATAGTTTTCCATTGGTTTGCCGTAGTTTACTAAACATGCACAGCACGTGTAATCTTATCATTTTTCTCCATTAGGTGCCCGAGGAAGCACCAAGCGCCGTTCTGTAAATCGTCAGGCACCAAATACAGCCTCATTTGGAAGTTCCAACAGAAACAGAGCTGGTACCAATGAACCAATCAGCGAGAGGGCAAATGGCACGTGATTTTAACATGTCTTGTCTTCACTGTTAGTAGTTTGACAGGGGTCAAAATAGTTAGGGAGAATTAGGACCATTCTCAGACGCCTAGATATTTTGTATTGTCCCATCTTGCTTTAAATTTTTCCTTTGTTTACTGTCTGTTATGGTCAATGTAAGAATTTAAAATAGTGAATATTTGTCATTTTGAAATGCTGCTCAGCACAAGTTTTTAAATTGCTTTTGATTGTAAACACACAGATATATGAAATAGTCAATTTTTTGTTATTTCTAAAACGCAAGCTCATAAAACGCAAATCTTATAATTCATTTGTACAATTTTGATCCCATAACCTGAAAGTGCATCATGAAATACTTAAGTACAAGCTCTGGCCGTCTAAAGCTCTGGCCGTAGTAATTTGTCTTTATAACTTTATGAACCAAACCAAAATGATAGTAATTCGTTAGCAAATTTGAAATTGTTTGCATTCCGTATATCATCCAATTTTTACACATATACATAATATTGCATATTTAGAAGTAGTTCTTAGTGGTTTTTAAGTTAGGTGGTCAAAATTCAAAAGTTTTAAAAATAGATTTTGAATGACATCACATTTAAGAACCCTTTTTGGAGCCACCCATAAGGAAGAACCCTAAATTTTCATTTTTTTTGTTTCACAATCAAAAACCTGTTTGCATTCCTTCGTCTCACCAAAACCTCTTTTGATTGACAGCTGATGCACCAAAGGAAACCAAAACAAAAGCTGTTTCAGTCAAGTTTTCAGGTACATTTTAGCTTGAATTCTTGGGACATTTTGGAACATTTATGGGACAACTTTGCAAAAGTAGAAAATGTAGTAATAGATTTGATTGGTTGAAATCGACAATCGTTTTTGAATTGGTTGTTGATTGATATGGCTTTCTCTTTGTCCTTACATTTCTATAATTTCTTCATTTCTCTTATTTTGAAATTATGTTTACTCCTTGTCTTTTTAAATCTATCCACACAAAAGCCGAAAAATGGTGCTTTCTAGAAAAAAAGTCATTTTGTCTTTGAGTGTCCAAACGAAATTATTAGGACAATTTTCAATCTGATTGGACAACAATTCAAGTCATGTACCCTACCGAAATATTATCCTTCAAAGACGGTCTCGAAACTTATATTCCAAATTTCACGGTATCGTTATTAAATCTCAACTGGACTGAAATATACGAACATGGATCGACAACAAATGGTTCATTCACATCCCTAACTTATCACTTTTTCTCATTCAGAGCCTACAGTGATTACAGAGCCTGATGATCAAATGGTCCCTCCTCCTTATGAGGAGCCGAGTCCTGAACACGAAGCTGACATTGCAGAGGCATCAACTTCGCAGGAAGAAGAAACTGTGGAGGAGCACACTGTAGCATTGATTGTAGACAAAGATGTTGTAACGTCGCCGGCGAAAAAACCTGAAGGTATAACTTATAAGATACGTTTGACAGTTGAATCAAATATGTAGTTACCAAGATTAGGGGAAAGCATTCTGGAGAGAGGATGTTAAGGAACCAATCGTTAGTTTTAAGAAGGAATCTTCATCAAAGGTTGTTGAATAGTTTAATACAAAGAACCAATCAAATGCTTCTTTCTTCATCTCACATTGATTTCGATCCATACCTGGATATAAATTTTCGGTCATTTTATGAGGTTTTTACACTGAGGAATGTCATACAAAAAGCATTAAATTATGCTCTTTCCAGTTTTTGTGTATTTTGGTAAAGTGATATTGTTGTTTAGCCCATCAAACTTTGCTATTAACCAGACAAGTCAAGACCTGACCTGACCTGACCTGACCTGACCTGACCTGACCTGACCTGACCTGACCTGACCTGACCTGACCTGACCTGACCTGACCTGTTAATGCAACACAGTTTGGCAGTTGCTATGTGAAAATTTCAGTTATATATTCCAAACTGAGTGCAGGTCTGTCTACACAGCATCGAGCACCATATGACAGACCAGTTCTTTTCATTGCATAAAATTTAATTGCAAAATTCATCATATTTTGTCAAATGGTTGACCCCTCCAGTTGTTTTTTAGATCCGATAATTGAAAATGAAAGCCCATCAGTGTTAAAGGCATTTAGCACGGAAGACAATCCTCTAGAGGTATCAACTTTGAGCAAAACTGTTGTGGTAGAATCATCGAATAATGACGTCACACACTCCCCTGCAATCGTAACCAGCAGTGAACAAGTGAATGATTCGCTCGTGCTCACTGGCAATACTGTTACCATAGTAAAAAAAACAAGCACTACAACCTATGAACATGTTGTTGCAACCAACGAAATCGACGATTCTAGCTCATCCAGTCAAGATCCAGGGATATTAGCTGCCAACCATGTTGGTTATATGAAACAAGAACTTGTTAACAACGAGTCAACAAGTGTTGTAGATGCTAGGTCTATTTCACTAGAAATTAAGGAAATGAACGGAATTGATTTGAGTATTCAAAAAGAGACTGATAGCCCAGATTCCCAATTTCAAGAGTCCAAAGTTCAAGAGTCAAAAGTTCAACAGTTCAAAGCTCAAGAGTCAAAACTTCGAGAGTCCAAAGTTCAAGAGTCCATAGATGACATTTTGGATTCGTCAGTTCAAGAAATCAAAGGTGATGATTCAGAGTCCAAAGTATCAGAGCCTACAGGCGATAGTACTCTGTCCAACAACGAACATTCTGAGGTCAACAATCAAATTTTGGATCCAAAAATCGAAAATAGCGATGTGCAAGATGTTCTTCAAGTTACAAACCTAGACACTGTCCTTTCTTGTAGTGGGGACATACCAAGTGTCGAAGTAGAGCCTGCTAATGGTAGTAACCTTAATGATAGCTCTGGTAGTAGTGACGTCATGGTTACGCTTCTTTGATGAATTTAGGCCAATGTAAAAAGTAGCTTGTTTCGTTTCCACCATGCATTAGTAAGGGACAATGAATGACGAAGTGCGTGCGATAGACACAACAAGGCGACCAGATCAGTTTCATTTCAAATGCGATGCTTTAAGGGTCAATTATTATCGCCTGAAAAGACGATGAGTTGCTTTGAAAGGCCCATCCCACTTAGTCCCATAATCTCATAATCCCATGTCTATAACGACATAATCCCATATCTAAAATGGTCTCAACCGTAAGGTTTGAGCGAGAGAGGAGCAAGGGGTTAGCAACCACAATAAGGGGATGAAAAGTTCTCTGCTATGTTTTGTTTCCATTAAAGGAACTTGCTTTTTCGAAACAATATATTGATTTTCCTCTGGCATTGGTAGTGGGTAACATGTCCAACAGAAAAGGGGATCTAGCTGTTCTCTCGCACTCTCGGCTCACCAGCCCTAAATACCATGTTGCAAAGACTTGTTATTTATAAGTTCGAACCTAGATACCTTTGTAGATGAATACGTTTTAATCTCGCCCTGAAACGCCAATTAAGTTGTGTTATCGTAATGTAGATTATCGCCATTTTAAAAAGCTGCTATTTGCAGTTATTCGATCCGGCTCGGTGGACTATTCTTTGTAGATCAAATATAGTAGACAAATTGTATTACGTTTTGTAAAGGTACATATCTTAGCGGTTAAGGGTAGCCATTTTACAGAAATTATTTCTGCAATCTTCGTTGATAATGGTCGGTGATATCTCTTATTTGTATTACCCCGTGTTAATTTTGAGAAATGATGGCCATAAATTGACGTAATTTTTGAGTGTACAAGGAAGAGATAGTATTGACACGACAAGACGTACACGATAAATTGAATGTATAAACTGCGTGTTAAACAAGAACAGGCCCATCACCATTCATAGAAAATAGATGCAGAGTAAACGATGACGAGTCGTCTTTTGCTTTTAAGTACGTGATATCCTGAGTAAACGTAATGCCTAAAGAGAAAAAGCATAGATAAGCGTATTCTTTCTGTCTTAATTGCGTGTAAAGTACACGATGTCCACGGTACACGTGGAGTAGAGTAAGTTGAAGACTAGTAGAGCGTGGTTGGTACAGTTCTACGTGAAGTTTTTGTTACACGTAAGATTGACATTTAGTTTAAAGTACATTTCATGCACATAATAGGACGTTTTTGAGCGTGCAATCTGCACGGAACACGTTTTTAGGTACCGTGTATCTCCATGTGAGGTCCATGTTATTTCCCAAATAGGTAGATAGTTACAGGACACGATTAATCCTTACTGAAGCGTGTAAAGAACATAATAAGGTACGTTTTCGTGCATTTTCCACGACAGTTCACTCACCCTGCACGATAAACCTGTTCAATTACACGTCAATTACACACAGGATAATTCGGCTAGGCCCTAGTGAACTACATTTCGTATTAGAGACGTGAAGAATACACGCAAACTTTTCACTTCACTGCGAGCATAGTACACGATGCTTTTTCAGTTCATATCATGTATACTATGTCGTGGCTTTTCCTTTAAGACTGGTGGGCCTTGGTTTCTCCACAACTAAACGGGTGAAAGCTTTTACTTTACGGGCGTTGGCCTTTAGGAGTTCCGCGTTGAGTGCATGCCAATTCCACGATAAAAGTGTATGCGAATGGCCATTCTCTGTACAGCCGTCGCCTTTCGGGATTTCCACGTTGAGTGCGTGCCAATTCCACGATAAAAGTAGCACGTAAACAAACGAACGTAGCCAAATAACGTTTTATAGCAATCCCTATTTATGTTGATTGTAATTATATCTCGGTGGTTAAATATTAGGTCTTGAATAATACGATTATGTTTTAGAATGTCAAATTTATCTTTGAAAACTTGACTGCTTCAGAGCTTTCTTGAGTTGACGTGTTAAAACTGGAAGATTGTCTGAATAAGTATCTGCTGGTTTAAATTGTTCACATTGGTACTTTATGAAGTAGTTAGTTAACACAATAGTGCAGTTACGGGGGGAGGGCGAAGGGGGACACACCCCCCTAGTTCTTGGAGGATCAATTTTTGTATTTTGTTTTTGTAAAAAATGTTGGGGAAGTGGTAATATTCGGACAGCTTACTTTATGTGATGTGATTTTCAAGCTGCCTTTATGTAACTTAATGTTAGCAATGGGCGTTCTCTTCGGATAAAATTGGTGTTCCCTGTTGATAAAAAGGCGTTTCCTACCCCCCCCACCCCCCAAAGCTTAGTGGCTGGTGCCGCCATTGCAATAGAAGTTCAAAAGTCCAGTGAAAGTCAGAACAAGCATACCGTAATTCCTCGAATTAGCGGGGGCTTATTTATTTTTGATATTTTGGATGGGGGCTTATAAGAGGAGAGGGGGGGGGGGGTTATAAAATTATTTTAGAAATTAAGGAGACATTATTAAAAGACCTTGTTTATTCAGTAGAAATTTCTTTATGAGCATTTAATTGATTACTAACAAAAGTATGAATTTGTTGTGGTAATTCAATAAAATGCCATAGGCAACCTCAGATGGCAAAAATCATCAAATTGAGGGGTCCAATTTGAGAATTTACGGTAGCAGTGGGAGCTTATTCGAGGGGTGGGGTTTATTTACAATTTTTAGTTCTAGGGTGGAGGCTTATTCGAGGGGGGGCCAATTCGATTTTTGAGGGCGGGGCCAATTCGAGGATTTACGGTATTCTGAAAAAGGGTACTGGTTAGAAATCATTTGGATGGAAAGTTCGGTAAAAGTTCGGAGGAAGGAATGAGAGGTGACACAAAAAGGTATTTTAAAAACTAGATAATATGTTAGAGTCACAGCATATGATAGAAGAGCATTCAGAGGAAATGATAATTCATCAAAATTTGGAGAGGGGGTGGGAGGGTCAATTGTTAGGCAATTTGCAGCAACCGCTCTGTCGCTCAGACAGTTTAACAATACATTGGGCATCTTTGTAGTATTACTGTTTCACATTGGTTTTAAGGAGAACAGAATTGTTAAGTTTAGGTAGCATGGAAGTAATGATGTTGGGCAGTTGTCTGAGCATCCTTGTAAGGATACACGGAAGGTCCTGCGTCCTTAGTTACCAACATCTAAGACAATGTTAAATCCAGCTATAATGACTGAAAGGTTGCCAGAATACGATGGTATAAAAACAAACAGTTACATTTTAGACTGTGATGATTCGTGAATGAGAAAGTTTCAGCAATTTTGGGCCTTTTCAAATTCCATTTCAATGCAGTGTCAATCGAATTTTGGGGGACCAAAGTCCACTTTATAACTAGCACGTTTACCCGCGTCTTCCCGCGGGTTCTATTGTCACAGGGAAACTGTGAGTGAAAGCTGTGCGTGCCAAGGAACACGTTAGTAAGGAGATAAACATCAGGAAAGATGGCTTGCCAAGTCCCAGGTGAGGAAGTTTTAAACGAAGATTATAATCTGCACAATTGTAACGGAATGGTTGACAAACTGTGTGAAAAATGTAGCGATGCTCAAATCCTGTATTCACACGCAACGTCGTAGCTGAATTTGGCTTTTAAGATTAATTTTTAACCAATTTTGACCTTTGATTCAATTTTAAAATTTGATATTTCAATGTAATGATTTCGGTAAATACAGAGTTCTGATTAATCTGGGATGTAAATTTCGTGCATTTGTATCATAATTTACCTTTCAGCTTACAAGCTGCACATTTTAGCTTCTACGATCTAGATTTCTAACGGTGCTTTCCCCGGGGTCTACAATTTCAAACTCCTGGTGAACCGGTTTTCAGGCCGTACACTTTTTTTATAACAACCAGTAAATTTAAGTTCAGGCTGACTGTTCTTAATTTTTTCGAAGATCCGAGGCTTGATTGTTCTTAATTTGTTCTTAAATTAAAAGGGTGTAAGCAGTGCGAGTTCTAGCTTTTTCGCTCTAGGGTGGTGTTAAGGCCTCCTTAGACAGCCTTAATTTGCTGACAAATTTGAATATTCAACGAAAAAGCACCCACACATCGCTAAAAATCCTCGATTTTGAGAAAGAACATTGTTCAAAACTGTCTTTTTGCAGAAGCTCAGCCTCAGCTTGTTCTTAATTTGTTCTTAACTTTTGACCAATTTTGAGGCTCGTGTTCTTATAAAATTGTTCTTATAAAAAAGAGAGTATATTTCGCAGGGGCTCGATTAACACGGATCAAATTGCACCAACATGGGGTTTCCGTATCTTTTCGTTTCAAAAGTTTAATCCTGCAAAATGAATTTCCCTTGTACTGACACCGAAGGACGTACGAGGCAGTTGTTTGAATCTTTTTAGAAATCGTCCCTTTCTTTTATTATCAAACTCCAGGAAACAGGAGGTGCTTACGACATGCTGGTCCAGTATACAGGTGTTTTTACCTGTAAAATTGTAAATGCTTATTCAGAAAACGCTAAAAATAATTCCAGGAAATTACACCAAAGTATCAAGAGAACACAACCTACCAAAAGTTGCGAAAATTAGTCCAAAATTTCACAAATACTTCTTGCAACTTGGTTTTCTAGTGTTCTGGTTCTGAAAATAATTGATAAAGCTCATTTTATTGAAATCCCAAACTTTCCCCATATGTAAATCAACTTTATCAATTTACAAGCAAGCTAGACATCTTTGCAATGAAAAAACCCCATTTTCTTTTTCTTTAAACCAAAGATGGTCCTGGGGTAGCCACAAAACCTAGATAATGCAAAGTTGCATAACTTTGAGCAATTTAATCAGTTGTATATGCCTCCAGTCTCGAGCTCTCTGTGCTGTGTAATTCTGCCGAAGTATTGGAGATGCAAGTACAAGATGCTGAATGCCAAAATTTGAAGTTGCATACCAAATTTAGTACAGCACTATCATACAAATCCTCTGTTTGCAAGGCATGTGGTAGGCAAGGTTAGCGTGTGTCATCAATTTTTATGGAATTTGTTGAACCACGATTAGCGACTGGGAGTGAAAAGTTTCACACAGAACAATATTGGCAATCAAATTATCTGTGTAAAAGTTTTAAAACTTTATATCAATGATAGGCTGTACAATACAAGCACAAAATATGAACATAAATTTTTTCAAAAGTTTGGACACTTGCCCCTGGTCAGGGCATTTGTCATAAATCTTTTGCAAAAAATTTGACCATGCCAGAAAATTTAAGAACTAAACTAAAAAATCTTCCATTCAGCAACACCGTATCAAATCTGTTTGTTATTGTTTTAAACTGTGTATATTTAAATACGATTATTTATAATTACCACATAATAGTCAATGAGCATTTAATCAGTTAAAAATTTGTTCATGCTTACAGAAAACCACCCACTTGGCAAGCTAGTATCATCATTCGACTATGATGGAAGCACTTGTAATTATTTCGATCTGACAAAGTTGGGTGACACCAGATTGGGTAAGCTGTCCTTTTATTTCTTAACTTTGTTGTGGCAAGATGAATCCTGGGGGCTTTTGCTCACTAAGTCCATGGAAGAATAGAGGGAGGGGCTACAAAGTGAGGGGGCTGAGATCACTTTGATATGTCACGTAAGTGACTCTACTCTCTGTTGCATTTTGGCAATCTGGCGGTACAAAGATGATGAAGAATTTCTCATAATAATTAGTTGAAAACTGAGTCCCATTAGGTTATTTTTCTATGCCCTTGGATCAGATTTTCTTGATTCTAAGTCCTTTATTTGAACCAAAATATTTCCATGTCAAACTCAGATAAATAGCAAATAAACTCAAGGAACACCACAACGGGCCAAGATCAAACAACAGTAAGCACACATAAATCAACTGTGTACTTTTGCTCTGATGAAGCTTCCTATGCTGGGACAAAACATTAGCCACATTCAATTTACATGTGTTTATTGTTGTTTGTTCTCAGCACAATATTTGCTACATTTTATCCGCTTTTCTTTGCAAGAATTCCACTGAAGTCAGTCGAGCAGCCTGCTATTGTGACCTTTCCTTCATTTATAAACTCAAATAATATATGATTCAATATTATGCACAAACAGGATTAGTTTCTGGATTAAATATGACACATGTCCGATGTCATTCTTTCATCATGAAGTACCAGCTAATCTTTTATTCTGACCCATGTAGTCACGATTACTATTTGCTGGTCTTGTTCTGGAGATGAATCATCCCCATCTTCCAGAGCATGCACTATCCCCTGTTTAAGGGTAATTGCACATGCGCATTACCATTTGAATCCCTGGCGAAAGTTCAAGAGGTTTGTGGTCAGGAGACAGAACAGCTGTGCGAATACTGTTATTAAGGCGCATGTGTCGCTGATTGGTTGAAGACGGTATTGTTTTGAAAGGACTGAAGGTTTTGTCTCCAGAACAAGGTCTTTTTCATGTACTTCATGCAATATTGAGAAAGTTTTCCATGCATTATAGGATAGAACAAGAGATTCTGTGTTACATTTTCTTAGTTTCACTCTTAATGCGATCATCAAGCAACATTTGAACTTATCTATAGCCATTTTACAACGCTCCAGTTAAGGTTTATGCTCTCTAGTTGCTTGCAAGCAATTCAAAACCACTAAAAGGCAACATTTGTTTGAGGAAAGGGAAGTATTTTAATTTGACATTAAGTAAACAGCCAAAAAAGATTTGCAAGTTTACTGCAAGTGACCAAGAAATACAAGCATTACAAACCAAAACCTATCTAGCAGTGCCCAGGAAATGTTGCAGACACACACTGTCAACGATGGGCATTGATGAAAGTAGAATACCTTCAGTGCCACAAGCAAACCTCACTTTTGTTGTTTTCCAGAGTTTAAAGGTTGTCAGAGCTTAAGGGTATTGTTTGAAAGTACGGGAAACACATTTTTCTTGACTTTGCTTTGCAACCAGGCAGTTGCCAGAGAGGGGGACAGGGGTGCTGTTCCCCCCAAACACTTTGTCTGTCAGCACAAAAAGGATTTTTACCAAGCAAAAGCATGAATTTCCTTATGTGTGAATTAAAGTATGGCACTAAAGTATGAATTTAGAAATAGAATCGCTTAATAGCATAGATATAAAAGCATTTTTCTTGTGGCCACACCCTTAAAGGATGAGACAGGCCTTTTTCTCAGCAAAAGTAATTACTACACCCATTTGAAAAAAATTTTTTGGCTTCGCTTCTGCTTGCAATTGATAATCGAATTCTTTTTACAGAGGCTCTACCATTTTCTGTAAGAGTTCTGCTGGAGTCTGCGGTCAGGAACTGTGATAATTTCCAAATATCAACTAAAGATGTAGAAACTCTGCTAAACTGGAAGGAAACACAGTCAAAATCTGTTGAGTTCCCTTTCAGACCAGCAAGAACAATTCTGCAGGATTTCACGTAAGTGTTAAAGATAGCTCACCCACTTTTATTAAAATTTGGTTTTAGTCATGAACCGAACCCCCTCCTCGTATTTTTTCAATGGCACCTTTTTCCTGACCTCATAGTAAGAGTGAAGCCAATCTCTAAATTTCACCAAGACAGTTTCTTCAAAATTTTTCCCTTAGCATATGATTTAGTTGTTATGGGTCTTGATTCTTACCATATTTTCAAAGTTTTTGTGTTTGAAATATTGCATTAAAAAAACAAGAATTTTTGTTGATTTTTATGCCTGAAATGTCATGTCCTTGATTTTAGTATTTGACCTGTGATTTTTGCCTTTGACAGGGGTGTGCCTGCAGTTGTTGATTTTGCTGCTATGAGGGATGCAGTAAAGCGGCTCGGTGGTGACCCAGCCAACATTAATCCAATCTCACCTGCAGATTTGGTCATTGATCACTCTGTCCAAGCGGACTTTTCGCGCAGGTATACATTCCCCTAGTTTCCTAGTGACTATATCATTTTTGCATAGCTATATCAAGTCCTTCCTGCTCTATGGTCTCTTTGAGCATATGTTGAGATAATACCCCTTCTCTATTTGATTTGATCCTTTCCAATCACTCTTTGCTAGCAGCTGTCAAATTTTAAATCTCAACTTGCTAGTATTTGGTACATTCTACTTCTATCCAGTACCTTTATTGGTCCTAATCAGAGAGAATTTTAAACTATATTCCATTTTTTGACCCCTGTTTTTAAAGCCCTTATCTTAAAGGCACCCTCAAAAAACATCGTTGAATATTATTTAAATTTTGAAAACCTTAATGAAAATTGAACAGTTTTTTTCCATCATCCACCAGCATATCTTCCTAAAAAATCTAAAAAAATCGCTAGTGTGATTCAGGAACTCAATTTTGGAACAATTATTCATTTGGCCTAAAAGCACCCTTGTAATGCGTTTTATCTCAAAAGCATACCATTGTGAATATTCCAGTGTTTTGTTTCACTGTTTGTTAAAGTAGACCAATATGTGATAAAATTTTGTGCCAAAATTTTTCCAACTCTCACAACGCTGTTAAGGTAATCTTAATGAAAAGGACACCCCCATATAATGGATGGTATATCGGTCCCCACTTACTCCTATAAAAGCACTTCTAGTTGGTTCTTCGTAGAAATACCAAACATTGACCAAGAATAAGAAAGAATGAAAAAGGATTTCAGAATCGCAAAGATCCACCATTCTTTCATTTGATTTTTCCATCATACAATATTAATGTTTATCTTTTTACTAGACTTTATTTCAAAGTCTATGCCAACATTCATTATCTGATATATATATATGTTTGATTAATGTTAATAATATCTTTCCTGAAGTCCGGAAGCCTTAGAGAAGAACCAGAAGCTAGAATTCGAGAGAAATAAGGAACGGTTTCAGTTTTTGAAGGTAAGATACTTTTCTGTCTCTTGATATTTCTCTGCCAAACGTAAAGGTCTAGTAAAGTTAAGAAATAATGGAAAGACACTGCAAAAATGATAATGTCTCATTATTGAACTTCAATTAAAAGGCTCTTGCGCAACCAGCATGCTTTGCGACTATAGTTCCTAAGCCGGCCTAACGTCTTAATGAAAATATAAAAACACAATAAATTTTTCATCGCGTAAAGGACAGCTACCTTAAGCGTGCAAGAGTCTTTAATGCGAAACTCTCCCTAATGACGACCATTTAGCTGATTATTTCCAATCAACGCGAAAGCCTGCTTGTTAACGTGATCAGCACTGACTGATAGGCTACTTAAAAATTTCCTCATCTGGAGATATTGCTGCATATATAGTTAAAAATATCGTGTAAAAACGTGAAGAGAATTTCAAAACGGAAGAAAACATCTCTTTGGGTTAAACCATGGAGGCCAAACGACTATAGTTTGGTTTTTCTGACAGATAACCTTTCGTCTGGAAGTGAAAAAATAGTTGAGAGTATTAATAAAAGCTTTTTCCTTTTTGCAGCTATGTTTCTTTTCTATCCATTTCGAAATGGATTTTACTGGTAGTAGTTCCCACATTTTAAGTTTTACTTGTTTAAATTTAATGGTAATCATAATATGTTCGTTGTTCGTTTTTAAGATTTGGAATATTCAACTTATTCATTCTTTATACTTTCATTTGCCTATAAATTTAACCTGCGTATTGTTTCCACATTTATCGATAAGTGTTTCTTGTTTTATATTTTCTTTTATGTCACATCCAAATCTACTACCATTTCTACCTTTCAAAAGTTCAAACTTTTTCAATTTTTCCACCATTTATAGCTGTCATTGCATTGCTCCATTTTTAAAACAATTTCATCAACTCAAGACCGAAATCTCATTTGAAATTCATTTGAAATCTCCGACTCTTCTAGAACAAGATACTTATTTAAAGCTTTTTCGCTCAAGGACTTTAAGAAGCTGTTTCAAGATATTTTAATAGAGCATTTACAGAGTATTCTTCAACTGGAAAAAACAGTTTTGTCTGTAAACATGTTCTACAGTTTGTTTGCACACCTGTCTAAATTGCGGACCAAGTTGCTTTGGGTTTTCTAAATGTAAAAACTTCTATTGTGTGAAAAGATTTCATTTAGGCCTAAAAATATTTATCCTTTGAAAACAGCCTGAGAAACTTAGCTGTGATCTAGCAAGCTGATAAAACAATCAGTTTAACAAAACAGGTTTCAAGTTCTGCGTGTTTGGTTGGAGTTATCTGTTTAATTAGATCTTCTTGATCTTTATGTAAATTGCTGTCCAATTTATGAGAAACATTGAATAAGTATTGTTTTAAAGTTTAAACAGCAGTCCGTTGAGATATATCTTATAGTGAAACTTAAACATAGCAATGTTTGCTTTACTAACAAAACAAAAGACTGTTTGTTTTTCGAAACAATAATAAAGTGTTTTAGCTGAATACTCGTCATTCCTGCATTCCATTTTTAAAGTGGGATTCTTGTTTTAAAAAGTTCCTACTTTGAGAAAGATGTTCCTTGCTAGATAATTATAGGTTTTTACCAGGATCGAAAAATTCTTCATTTGGATATAAAAATTCATATTAGGATAAAAATATTACTGCTTAGGATATAGATGCTCTTTTTATGATACATCCTAATTGGGGAAGAAAAAGTCCTAATTTGGAAAGAAAGGTTTTTTATTGGGAAAGAAAGGTTCCTTATTGGGAATGGAAAGTTCCTTATTGGGAATGGAAAGTTCCTTATTGGGAATGGAAAGTTCCTTATTGGGAACGGAAAGTTCCTTATTGGGAATGGAAAGTTCCTTATTGGGAATGCAAAATTCCTTATTAGAAGAAAAGAACCTTATTGGGAAAGAAAAGTTCCTTTTTTGGGCAGACAGATCGCTACCTGCGATAGATTAGTTCCTTATGTAATTAAGATGGAAAAGTTCGTTATGAATGAATGTAGTTTGAATTTCACTTCCTTTGAACTGGCACATTTATTCTCTATTTTACTTGTTCTAATTTATATTTTGTTATTTTCAGTGGGGGTCTAAAGCATTCAAGAATCTTCAGATCGTACCCCCCGGCTCTGGAATTGTCCACCAGGTAGGCCGAACCTCCTTGAATTATCATTGTTCCTTAATTTTACAGAATCTCCTTATATTATCTTTGCTCCTTTAACTGCCTGAGCCTCCTTATATTACCGTTGTCTCTTTAGAGGCTGAGTTTCCTTATGTCATCGTTGTGCCTTTAAATGAAATCGTGCACAGTTTCAAGCTACTACGCGTGTAAGATGACGTCACATTTCCCATTGTTTTAGAACAAAAGACCATTGTCCTTTTAAGTATTGGGGGCCCCCCAAGTGTCCGCCACTGTTTCAACCGTTTAAAAATTCAGCAGGGACGATGGGTTAACCAAAGAATTGAGTTTAGGTAGGGCCTAGGTAGTCATTGGCTGACTGGAAAGGATTCTTGGATGCGATTGCTGCATAGGCCCATCCTTCCACTCGTCCTCCCTGGGTAACAAATTGAATGGTATTTTGGCTCTATTTCATGCAGAGCTTTATCACATACAAGTTAACGCATATATAAAGATAATTTAATGAGGATTGCTTCTTTGCTGGTCTGTCATAAAGTGTTCGCAGCCGTAAAGGCAGAGCTGTACACGCTATTTGGTGAATGGAACAGGACGGTTCTAAGCTGATTCTCCACGTTTCACGCTTAAAGCGATCATCAGGCAAATGTTTAGTTTCATGTATCGGTTTCCTATGAAAAAGTCCTGGTCAAAAATTTTTCAAGGAGACTTTTCAAGGAAGTTGATATTTTCTCTTTAATTTGAAAAATAACTTTCGCCCCTCTTCCAATTCAATGTTGAATGAATGATTTTGAAGGAGAAATGATAGAACTACAAATCCAACATTGCTTTGGAGGGAAAGGGGGGATTCGAATTTACAGGGGCAATATTAAAGTAGAAAATTGCAAAATTTGCATTTTGTTTCAACAATTTTGTCCGGGATTGTAGTATTTACCTCTAGGACCCTCCCTCTAGGGCTTCGAAAATTAAATAAGCCCCCCGGGGGGCTTAATAGAGCTTTTACGGTATATTTATATCATAAAAGATCAGTAGGTCATTGCTCGCCTCTCTTTTCTTTTTTTGAGGAAAGAAGCTGGAGGGCTTAGAAAGGACCAGGGTATGAATTTTTATTTCCTTTTGGAAATTAATATTTCATCCCTTGGTTCTGTGTAAATTCTTATATTAAAATTTAGGACGCGTCGCTGACCATAGATGGCAATTATTGCCTTTTTAGGAATTTTTGTTACGTTGAACATGTGTGTTTCTAGTAATCTGATTGGCGAACATGTTTCTTACAATAAACATAGGCAAATCAAAATGATATGTAATTGACATTTAAATGAAGATTTTCTGCTTCGCAATCTTTTACCCGTTTTAAAGTTTTAAGTCTCTTTGTTTCAGAATTCCTCTAGACTAGACTTTTCTTCATAAGAATGAAATTTATGTGGACGCCGAGGCCACTTTTGCTTAAAAAATAAAGCAGCGTCAGATGAAAATTATTAAAGTTTTAAAAATCCTTTTAAAATTTTTTTCGTAGGTTATGAATTCCTCTAGTCTAGACAGAATTCCTATAGAGATTTTTCAAAAAACTTTTTCTCAAAAAATATTTTTTCATAAGAGCAAACTTTATAAGGGGCTCCGTTTCTTCAAAAAAATTATAACAGCGTAAGAACATGTCGTCCGTAAAGCATTTAATCTAGAAGCCATTTTTTTGAGAATTTTCTCTTTAGGGTTAAGAGAACCGAGATTTTATTAGGTAATAAACAGTGCTATTGAAATGTCATGCAGAAATGTTCCTTAGTGGTCTTAGAAGCAGTTTATAGTATGTAAATATAGAAATATCAATGCGGAATGAGAGCAATATTAAGAAAACATCCGAGTTTCAAATTATCAAAATGATAAGAACGTTGAGTCTCGGTAAAAGATTTCTGGTTCTTATGAAAAAGTGTTTTTAAATAAGCTTGACACATGCCACTTTAAGCTGATCGACTTTCTTTAATCTTCGATTTTTAAATTTTTTTGTATTTAGCGATAAAGTAAATTTTTTTGGTTTATTTTCAAATTGTTTCTTCTTCTTAGGTCAATCTGGAATTTTTAGCCAGAGTCGTTTTCGAAGTTGATTCAGTGGTTTATCCAGACAGCTTAGTTGGGACAGATTCGCACACGACCATGATAAATGGTTTAGGTGTTTTAGGATGGGGTGAGTATCATTTTATTAGGTGATTGAAACATTTAATAGCAATGATTGTTAAGAATGGTAATAGATCTTAAAGAAGTAATTGTACTTGTTAATAGAATTGACTGCAAAGATCGAGAGAAGTGATTACAGTGATATGTTAGACTGATTGTAATGATTTAGAGAAATGATTGCAGTGCTTGGTTGGACTGATTGGAATGATCAAGGGAAGTGATTGCACTGGTTGTTTTAATGAATTTTCAATGATCGAATGGAGCGATTGCTATGATTTGTTTAACTTATTGGAATGATAAAGATTGAAATGTTGGATCAGAGCCCAGAAAACATGACGGTTCCACGGTTGTGAACCGGAGGAAGGCTATCCAACGACGCAGTAGTTTAGAGGAAGGCAAATAAGTAACTTGACAAGTATATATAAACTGGAAGAAATTTACAGTCGTGCTTAAACTTTTCTTAACTCTAACAGAGCGTTCAGCCCAAAGTAAGATAATTCTATTTAAGTTCCATTTCTTAGAGACCTTTATTCAAAAGATATCAGGTAATCTTGAGGAAGGCCAGTAGAACTGAGTTTCATGCGGAGGAAAGCCGAGACGTTTTTTAATCACTGTTTGATAACAGTGTTGCAAATTTCTGATTAGAATGATAACACCGATTTATGTGAATGATCTCACTTGATTCCAAAGAAGTGATTAGCGATTGACCGATTGTTGCGAGTGCTGCCAAGTGATTGATTGATTGTTTGTTTTGTTTAGGTGTTGGTGGTATTGAAGCGGAGGCCGTGATGCTTGGCCAGGCGATCAGTATGGTTGTGCCTGAGGTCGTTGGATACAAGATAACGGGTCACGTGGGCAGGTTCATCACTTCAACGGATGTTGTGTTGACCATCACAAAGGTATGCTTTTTTGTTCCTGCCTCTAAGGAGGAGATGGGTAAATGTTGAGAAGGGATGTAGAAGCGTTAGAATGGGGTGAAGGGGGCGGGGTGGGTGGGAGAAGGCCAGTTGAAGGGAGGGGGCCATTAGCATGGCCAAGGGGTGTTTTTTGGGGGTAGGTTATTAGTCCCTCCCCATAAATGTTATTGAATTCCCTTGAAATTCCATCATTAAATTCTTTTGTTGCCGTTAATAAATTTAAATATTTTGCTTATTTTTTTGTTCGCCATCATTAAATTTCGCAATTTATTTATGCCTCCATCTTCGCTACTGTTTTCCTCCATTTCTCGTAGCATCTTCGACAAATTGGTGTGGTGGGAAAATTTGTTGAATTTTTCGGTCCGGGTGTCTCACAACTTTCAATAGCTGACCGGGCTACTATTTCAAACATGTGCCCGGAATACGGTGCAACTGTTGGTTTTTTCCCGGTCGATGAAATGACCCTTCTGTATTTGAAGCAAACAGGTATGCCTACGTCACTTTTGTTATCATGATCGCAATCAACTCAATAACTATCGTAGTAATCACGATCGTCATCATGATCAGCAGTTATTATTATCAAACATAATCATCATTAATCGTGATCACCAATCATAATCATAATTAATCGTGATCACCAATCGTCATAATCATGATAATCAGCAACCATGATCGATAATCAATCATAACTTAAATCCTAATCATTATAATCATCATCAAGCTCAGCAATCATGACCCTTAATAAATCATCATCAATCAATCAAAAACATCATCAGTTGTAATCATTACCCAATCTTAATCATAATCACCAATCAAAATCATAAATCATTATAATCACTGATATGTACCCCATAATCAATTATTTACCATAAACCATTATCTTTATTGATGTAATTTTTTTGCCATTAACTTTGTGGTACAATTCCTTTACGGGTATCTAGTACCCAGGAAATCTGTTTATATTGTGTTTTTCTCTCAATTTTAGTTTTAGTTGATTCACTATTTTTTTCCATTCAGAAATTTTTAACTTTTATTGTTTTTTTTCTAGGTCGAGATGAGAAGAAATTAGAACTGATTGAAGCGTACCTCAAGCGTAATAAACTTTTTAGAGATTACAATAATCCTGAACAAGATCCGATCTTTTCTCAAGTAAGTCATCCATTTCATTCATAATCCTTCAAGATTAAAAAATCAAGGATTATAATCTGCTTTTAAGATTAAGCATTCTTCAAGAACCGTTCCCTTGTTTAAAAAGAGGCAAAGGAAAAAGGATAGCACAGAAATTCTGTATTGTTGAAAGGTCGCGCTTCTCGATCAAAGGTCATATGTGTATTTTATAGGTCAAATGTAAAATTTAAAGATGAGTTCAAAGGTCAATCATGGCTCTAAAAATCTGTAACACTGTAAAGGTGAATCGAATTGTTTTATTATTAAGAAAATGTCATTTTCTACAAGATGTATCTATAAATTTATTAAAAGGTTAAACTTTTCTGTTTTCTTCTCAGATTGTTGAGTTAGATTTAGCAACAGTCGTCTCGTCATGTTCTGGCCCAAAAAGACCACATGATCGAGTAGCAGTCTCGGAAATGAAGACCGACTTTGAATATTGCCTGAGCAACAAAATCGGATTCAAAGGTTACGGATTAAAACCTGAGAAAATCAGTGCAACGGTTTCTTTGGATTACGAAGGAGAGAATTACACCCTTTCGCATGGTGAGTTTATTTCAGCTAGCAATCAAGACGGTTGACGTTGAAAAACTGGAATCTGCAGGCCACTCCAAGATGCCCTACTGTTGTGTATGGTTTCTTGTAGAAAAGCATTGATAAAAATATGTCAAATTTTCGAAAAATATGTTGATAAAAATATATCGAAAGAGTTTCATGAAAATCTCTGAATAGCTGATCTATTCATGAAAAATAAATAAAAGCTATGTTTAATCATTATACTTTAAGTTAAATTGTTTATTTTAGTATGATATTTTCACTGTTGTACATTTTAACTTAAATACAAATCGATGTATTTTTGCAACACGTGATGTTTTCCTCAAAGTCTGATTGGTCAGAATAACCTTAACCAAATATGAAAATTCTCGAGAAAGGTTTCGTGACGTCATCAAATTTGAATGTATGACATCATCAAATTTGAATGTATGACGTCGTCAAATTGGAATTTATGACGTCATCAAGTTGAATTTATCTTGTCATCAAATTGAATTTATGACGTCTTCAATTCATCTGTTGACATGTTTGAATATATGTACATTCACTCATAGGCTCTGTTGTGATTGCTGCTATTACAAGCTGTACCAATACGAGCAACCCTTCTGTTATGCTTGGCGCTGGTTTGCTTGCCAAGAAGGCAGTTGAGTTAGGCCTAACGACAAAACCGTACATCAAAACAAGCTTGAGTCCTGGGTCTGGTGTCGTCACCTACTACTTGGAGGAGAGCGGAGTCAAGCAGTACCTTGAAAAACTTGGGTGAGTGTCTGTTGTTTTAGTTCAAGTTTTAGTTATTAAAGAGCCATTGCTAACCAGAAGCCTTTGCGTACCTATAATAGTAAACTGAGCAAGTTGTCACAATGGCGACTTCCACATGGCATCTATCCTTGCATTATTCATTGGATTACAAATTACAAAGCCTGGCGTGGAACTCCGCATGCCATATTTCACACCAACATCCTTTGTTCTGTTCTTTGTTTTTATCATGTATGGTGATTTTAGACGCCATGGTGTAACAGGCCCCAATTGAAGTATGGAGACAAAACGATTCCTACCAAAGAAGGAAGTGGACCTGAAATTTCTGCAGAATGGATCTTTCCAAAACTATTGTTAATTGCTTTTTCTTTCAGCTAGGCCATGCTGATCATTTGATAGTTTAGAAGTAGTCCGTGAAAGTAACTGTGGGTCCTTTTAAAGCAATGCTTGAAGGCTAGCAAGGAGCTTTCAGCGTCATAAAAAGCTGTCGGAAGGAAGTTCATATCATCATTACAATCAGTGATCGATCATCAATCGTTAATCATTACAATCAGTGATCGATCGTTTATCAGTGATCAACCATGCATCATTAATCACAATTTTTATCTCCACAGATTCGATATAGTTGGTTATGGGTGTATGACTTGTATTGGCAACAGCGGACCATTGCCGGAACCTGTTGCAGAAGCGATCGAAAGGGTATGTTTCTAAGAATCTTTCCCATTTCTAAGAACAACATTAAAAGACGCGGAAGTATCCCTGGATACGGAAGTAGTTGTAGATGTAGATGAAAGCTGTCGACCGAAGATGAACTTCTTGATGTTCCAAATTTTCTTTCCTTGGATCAGAAAATCGTTCACTCAACTAATTTTTTAAATTTTTTCAACTGCTAGCTAAAGTAGTTGAGGTATTGTTTTATTTTCAACCCCGTCTTGTACGGCAATTTGTATAAATCTTCATGTATTTGGTTATATCTCCAGGGGGATCTAGTGGCTGTTGGTATTCTATCTGGCAATCGAAATTTCGAAGGAAGGATTCACCCGTTGACACGTGCTAATTATCTTGCATCACCGCTCCTTGTGATAGGCTATGCTCTTGCTGGAACTGTAAACATTGATTTTGAAACAGAACCTATAGGTGAGTCTTCTCAAATACGTCGATACCGTAAATCCTCCAATTGCCCCCCCCCCTCGAAAAAGCCCCCCCCCTCGAATAAGCCCCCCTCGAATAAGCCCCACCCCTAGAACCAAAAATTGTCAATAAGCCCCCCCGAATAGGCCCCCACTGCTACCGTAAATTTTCAAATTGGACCTCTCAATTTGATGATTTTTGCCATCTTAGGTCGCCTATGGCGTTTTATTGAATTACCACAACAAATTCATACTTTTGGTAGTAATTAATTAAATGCTCATAAAGAAATTTCTACTAAAATAAACGAGGTCTTTAAATAATGTCTTCTTAATGTCAACAATGATTCTATAAGCCCCCCCTCGTATAAGCCCCCCCCCCTCGAATATTCCCCCATCCAAAAATATCAAAAATAAATAAGCCCCAGGGGGCTAATTCGAGGATTTACGGTAATCCCTTCGTTGCATAATAGGAAGTAGTCTGAATCTTCTCATTTGGATGGGGTAGGGTGGTGTTTGTCCCTGGTTGAGAGAAATTCGAATGGGGTATTTTAACGACTATAGTATTTCTTCAGTGCTTCATTTCCCAGTAAGATGTTTCGCGAAGAAATGTTTCGTTCCTATAAATCTCCATCAAATTTTTCATCAAGACCCATTTTTCAGTTTCAGAGTAAACCCTCACATGAAAATAATTGTAGCATAAACCTTATATTGTTGGGAACCACGTTTTCAAGAAAGAAATTCGGCGAAGAGAAGCCCTTTTCTGGAAAAGATTTCAGTGGGTAAAAACATGGGTTAACGGGTAAAAAATTCTTGCCCAAAAGAAATTGGTCAGAAACTTCATCAAATTAAGATTGGAAGAATCCCCTGTAGTAAAATGCTTTTTAGGTATATATCACTTTGAGGATAATATTTTCTCGAATGAAAATATTTTCTTTGGAAGTAAAGTTTTTGTAATAACTTTCGCAGAGAAAAATTTCACCAATGCAAATTGACCTTGTCAAGATTTCCCATCTGGATTAATCAGTCAAGTCAATCTGGATTAGCTAGGTTGAACAACACAGATTAAGTAATATTGAGAATCCAGATGAGGTTTTTTAATCTCTAAGACATCTTTAATTTGTAATAAACATATTTCAAACATCTTTTTGCTTTTTTGAAAGGTACATCAAAAGATGGTAAACCTGTTTATTTAAGGGATGTTTGGCCAACCAGAGAAGAACTTTTGGTATGTATTAAATGTTATACATATTATGTTATATATTTTAATCCCTTTTTCCTTCAATAATTCGTGTCCAGGAGTCTCTCTTTCTTTTTCTTTAATCTGTCTTGATTATCTTCTTTGTCAATTTCGTTTTGTGTTACTAGGAACCTTCTTTAATCTACCCATCTACAGCCAATCCACTTCATAGTATCCGTTGATCCAATATATCTATGCAGAATTTTCTTATTAAGAATAATCAGTCAACTCAATCTGGATTTTTAGATTTCTAGATTAGTTTGTTCAGCTCAGATTATCTAATCTGGAGATCCAGATTAGATATTTTCATCAATCTTGGTAATCCAATAAAAATCTTGATTTTTTAATTTCAGGAAACTGAGAGGAAATTTGTAATCCCAGCAATGTTTAAAGAGGTTTATTCCAAAGTTAAGGATGGGAATCCGTCTTGGAATTCACTAGATGCTTCAGATTCGCTGTTGTATCCTTGGGATGAGAAATCAACTTATATCAAGTCGCCGCCATTTTTCGATGATATGGTAAGTGAGGCCATCAATTTCTGACAACGACAACAACAAACTTATGGCCTCTCCCACTGTATAAATTTGTCGTTTTGTGTGAATAGAACAAGCTAGTATGTGGAGCTTCCAAGTATAACCAAGGTCTATTGAGTCAAAACACATTGAATCGCTAAACACTTAATCACTGCTAATCACGGCTATTACTAAATCACTAATCACTGATCACTTCTGGCTTTTCATGGTACCCCTTGTGAGTACGGCCAAAATCAATTATTTTGACTGCATGCTTGTTAATTTAATCTTTTATAAAGTCTGATATATCTTATTGCTGTCATTCTTGTTTATCAAAATTTTGAGATTTGCCAATTCCTTTACCACACGATAATTCAAACTTTGCATAACTCCAATGATATTTAACTCAGCTATTCTTTGGACAACAACAGTAGGCCCAAAACCATCCAGATTTTTCTGTTTTTCTTTCAAGATTAAGGAGGTTCCACCACTTCGAGGTATTGAAAACGCCAGGGTTTTGCTGAACTTCGGCGACTCTGTAACCACCGACCACATCTCCCCGGCTGGTAGCATTTCTAGGAACAGTCCTGCAGCAAGATACCTTGGATCACGGGGGTAAGTATCGCTAAATTGTGTCAAACACTAAGCTTGAGGTGAAACCAACCTCCTGGCCATGTGGACTAAGAAGCAACAGTTTCATCAAACTTTATTCGACTTTAAACTTTCTGGGGGTGTAGGCATCCATTTTGCTATGTTCAACCGAAAATCTGAGTTTGTACACTACATCTCCCACTGTATAGGCCAAGAAGCTATAAAACTGACTCTCATCCCTCTCTCAGCACTGGCAAACCCATGAACGGGAGCACGTGGATGACTTAGGCCACAGGAGGGATGACATGCCTTAACTAAGCTTACGTTTTGAGGGTTGTCTTTGCATGAGTTTATGACTAACGGATTAGTTTTTCCCGGCTCGTGGACGGCCCTCAGTCCATTCGTCTGAAATGAGTACCTAGTTGAAACAAACTATGGAGGTAATAGCTGTATGGAAAGGAACTGGCCACCCTACCACAAAATGCTACAAAATGCCACGGCTGAGGACGGTGCGTCCCTAACAGCGCATTCCCGAATGTTCGATATCAAATAAGGGATTAACTTTTACCCTTTTTAAGTTTGTTTTACACGTTTATTGATACTTCCCCCAAAGCCCCACCCCTTTATTTACGATTTGACTCCGACTGAAATCATGTATTGTAATGGATTTGTTTTCATCATTAGCTTAACACCAAGAGAGTTCAATTCGTACGGGTCTCGCAGAGGAAATGACGCGGTAATGGCACGTGGTACGTTTGCTAATATCCGATTGGTTAACAAATTTCTAGACAAAGCTGGACCTAGAACGAGGCATTGGCCGTCAGGAGACATGGTGAGTACAAACTTATAAAAATGATGATAAAGAAAATCAACATGGTGGTATCGAAGAAGTGGCTTAATAGGGGTGCGTGTATTGTCAATTCTCAACTAAGCCTCCACCTTCGAATCAACCCCACCACCTGATTGCACATTCCTTGGGCCTAAGCTAACTGACACCGACAACAATGACGAATTGTTCACATGGTAACGTAACTCTTTCCATTCTTCCAGATGGATATATTCGATGCCTCGCAGAGGTACCTACAAGAAGGAAAGCCCATGGTTGTTTTGGCGGGAAAAGAGTATGGGTCTGGATCGTCACGTGACTGGGCTGCCAAGGGGCCTTGGATGCTGGTTTGTAGTTCATCATAACAATCATAACTTTGCTTTTCTTATTTTCGTTGCTGCAAGATGTAAAGAATTAGAAACAAACTGCAACGGCCCTCCCCCCAATTCCATTACAGCCACTGGTTTTTTCGTCACCTTACATGCTAAATAAAACCTCACTCTTCCTGTCGATTCCAGTCAGTTTTTTAACTTCTGTCTTTTTTCAGGGTATCAAAGCAGTGATTGCTGAAAGCTTTGAGCGAATTCACCGTAGCAATTTGGTTGGCATGGGAATAATACCACTGCAGTATTTACCGGAACAGAATGCTGAAACTTTAGGCCTAACCGGGAAGGAGATGTTTTCAATTGAAATAAACCCGGATTTGAAACCTGGACAAAATGTCCTGGTTAAGGTATGATATGCTTTATATTTTCTTGAATGGAATTACGAGATGCGTCATTACTTACGGTTTTCGAGTTGCGAGGTCCATTACGATTTGCGAGTAGTTAGTTAGCTACGAGATAAAAGCAGAATTTATCGATTGTGAGTGACAAGATGTGTTGTCCTTTGCGAGCAGTGAATGGGTCACGAGAAGCGCTATAATTTACGAGTTACGAGTGGAGCTATGATTAACCATTAGCAAGTTACTAATTTAGTTAGCAAGGAATATTTGTTGTATTTTACGAGGTCCAGTGCTCAACTGTTGATACCTTCATCCAAAAAAACAATTTCTTTTGACAAATAGATAATCATTGTTTTAAAACTTTATTTACGATTGGATTATTACGAGTTTCGTAGTATTTACGTGTTGGAAGTTACGATGTGAATGAGGTTTACGTGCTGGAAGTTACGACCCTAGCAAGTCATTGTCAATGGAGTCTGCTTGAGACGACTGACCCATTTGTACAGCAAACAAGACAACATGCGTGCGCATTATATTCCTTTTAAAGAAGAAAGTTATATTTCATTATTTCTTTAGCTCTCCCATATTAACTTGCGACATTTTCCTTTCTCCTCCAGCTGGACGATGGCCGATCATTTGAAGCCAAATGCAGATTTGACACCGATCTTGAGCTGATGTACTTTCAACATGGCGGCATTCTTAACTACATGATTCGCAAAATGCTTCAATAGATACTGAATAATTAGCATAAGATAATGGAATAAATTGTCATATTTAATATTATTGTATATCGTTTCCTTACAGTTGTTGTCTGTCTTATTGATTCTGTTTCTCTGCATTTTTTTACCACCTTGGTTAGGCCAACATTGGTTGTGTAACGTTTAGGCCTACATAGGAAAGGTTTTTCTCCTGATTCAGTCATTTAGGTCATTTATTGTATGTTTAAAACATAATTACTTAGGGCACGAGAGGTTGGTTACCAAAGATTTGGGATAACTAGTACGGGAAGGTACGTGAAGCCGTTAACCAAGGCAAGTGCTTATAGAGTTCGAAAGTGATGACGTCACAAATCATATTTGGAACGCAAAGCCAGAAGTGTTTTGTGATACCTGTAGATGTGTGGTAGCTTTTGAACCTGTTACAACCTAAGGGAAAATTCTTCCAAATGAGCACAGATTTCACAAATTAAATTACATTAATTTGGTCTTGGTTCTAAGATATATTAACTAAGCTTAAAATGCAGTAACCTTTAACAAAAACTTTGGTATTCAATTTTTTTCGTTCAGGCAATAGAGGATTTGAAATAGAGTTGCTATTTTCTAATGACATAAAAACAATCTGAAACATCAATGTCTTAAAACAAAGCGCAGATGCTAAACAGAGGCTAAAAAATAAGAACAGCGTAAAAGTGTTATCATCTTTAAATGAAAAATTAGAAGAAAAAGTATTTTATTTTTAAAACTTTGTGTTGTCAAAGCACAGCCTACAAAAAGGGTTGTATTGGCAGGGCCCCCAAAAACAAGAGAGACAGAGAGGGCCAAGGGGGCTGGAGCCGCCAATAATTGTCAATATGTAGTATATTTCCTTTATAACAGTGTACTGAATGAAAAGGAGGAAAATGGGCAGCCCCCCTCCACACCAATATGAATTTGGTCCCGACGGTACTGATTAGAGCAACACTAGGAACACTCAAGTATCAAGTTTTCCAAAGAACAAGAACTTTAAGCATCTGTACAAATTGTCTGGTTCTTATCAATTTAATAGTAAAGCGATTACTTGTGACTCATAATGTCTTTAAATAGATTGTATCTCCCAAAACTTTGGGGGGAAGGATGGAAATTTCTGCGAGTGTGACATTTTGCAGACCGGTAAAGAGGGCCTGAAGTTGCCATGTTGCCTTAGATTTTCTATTCCGTGACAAATTTCAATAGAATTTCAAGTGCCATTTATGTCCCTATACACAGATTTAATTTGTTCTTCGTACCCTCTCCTCCCTCTCTCGGGAGTAAAAGTTACCCCTAATTCCTTCCAAACATTAGGAATGGTCTTGTCGCTGCGAAGGAAATGATGCAACGACAGCAACACGTTCATTCTAAACAAAGATGGCGGCCATGCAGCACCTTTCTCTCGTGGTTGTTTTTCTCTTTTGTCAAGCATCAGGACAAGATGAACAAATGAAAACAATTATCTTAGATGATGATAATTTTGAGCACCTTACCCAAGCATCAACTGGAGCGACAACTGGAGACTGGCTTGTGTTATTGTGAGTTTTGTTTCCTTGCAAAAAATCCATCATCGCATTTGTACACACACTACACCACACATATTTAATGAAAACAAATACTAAAGGTAGCTATGCCACTTTTAGAAAATACCCTTTTTGGCTGTAAGTGTGTCCGAGATTGTCAATTTTACGTTTACGTGTAATTTCTGCACTTTTGTTTCCCCCCTCCTGTCTCAAATATGTCATTTTCATTCCAAATGTGTGCTACTTACTTGGTAGGTGTGAACCGTTATTTTCTCATTTTTGTGTGAATGCCCATGAGGTAAAAAGTTGCATTGCAGACCAAGTATTTGAACAAACAGCAATAAATCGATGGTTCAGGGTGCATTTACTGTAAACTGTACACCAAAGGTCCACAGGGGCATTTGTTTAGGTACGCTGAAAAAATGAGTAATTGGTAAAACTGTAAATATTGTACACCAGACAAAGATTAATCGAGAAAACTGTGGTGAAAACTGTAACTATGTACGTTGACGATCTAGAGTTATGCATGCCAAACAGTTTTTTAATGGGTTGTTTTTCTAAAGAAAGCTTTGCGTGAGTATTTCCATTACTTTTAACAGTTCAAAAAATGAAGATGATTGTTTAAAATGTGCTGAAGCAAAGGATGTGTTTTCTTCACTCACTGAAAGGTATTTGTGAAGTTTCAATTTGATTTTCATATTTTCATCTTATTTTATTGGTAAAAGAACCTTCTGCCAAGTATTGTTTTTATGTGCTAACCGTGCAAGAGAAAAATGATATTTTTCTTATGTAAACTTCATTTTGATTTTATTTTTTAAATTCCACTACCTACAATTCAGTTCAGTTCATTTCATTTAAAAATTCCACTACATATAATAAATTCAAAGATTAATTACAACTAAAATACAAAAATGAAAAATATAAAGAACAAAAAACCAGGGATAAAATTATTGTATGTAAAGGAATTTTTTAAAGGAGGAGCTCTCTCAATAGTTAAATTAATTGAGGAGAGAGCACCCTCTATTCTTAAAAGCCTACTATCAGCCTACAATAAAGCCTACAATCAGCTACAACAATTAAGAAGTACAATAATTATAACTAAATATAAAGGTATACAATATTAAATAACACAAATCTAGTAGGTAGTAAAATTCTTAAAGGAGGAGCTCCCTCAGCAGCTAAACAAATCAAAGAGAGAGCCTCTCCAACCACCCCCCCCCCCCCCAATTCTCAACTGCTGTAGTATGTTTTGAAATGTAATATTCACGAAACCTAACCTTTTGGCTGATAGAGTTTTGAAAATGTAAAATTGAAAATTTTTCAATTAAGTGTGGAGATGCAAAGGCTTTTACAGCATATCAAACATACAGGAGTTTTCCTCAACAACCAAAGAAGCTCATGCAATCCTTTTCGTTTAGTGCGTGCGATTGCACACGCCTGCACACACATAAGTTAAATTGTGCATGCTTTTCATCACACATGCAAACAGGTGTTTTTGCAGTTTTCTGTTAACATCAATTTCCCGTGGTCTCATGATTATCCTTTTCCCTTGTTACTTGATTACCACTTTCGACCACAATATGATTTATCCAATTTTCGGAAGTGATTTTTGGCTTTTGACTGAATGCTCCTTTCAACTTAGTGGCTCGTCTTTCAGCTAAGTCGCCATTAGCATGTTAAGTATAATAACTGATTTCTTGTCAAAACTTAATTGTGCCCTGAAAGCAAGTAGCTGTTGGCAACAATTTTTATTTGCTCTTGTAATTTTGGAGAGTGACGACAACTTTTGAAAGATGGCTGCTAAGGGCAACAGGTTTTATCAGGTTTGCACTTCAAATTTTCTTACAAGTGCGATTGCAGGCGCAAATTTGTTTATATGTGCGATTTGCCACACATGCATAATTTTGCTCACTAAAAGGACTGCCCATGACGGAACAGAGCAAAGTGCCCCCAGAATACCAACAGGGTAGCCATCCCCACAAGCAAAATCTCTCATGAAGATGACAGCCCCATCAGCAACCCATAGAGGTCACCCAACCTTTTCTAGCAAAGCTTACATACAATAACATCCCTCTAAAACTATGGTTTCCATTTTGTTCCTTTCACAGAACGTAAAAGCACACAGCAAGTTTCCTCCTCCCTGTATTTCCAGTATAATTTCAAAGGGTTAATAAAGTACAGATGAATCTTGTATTCTAAAGTTAGTTGTTGTTCAGATTCTAAGAGCTTAATTATTCATTATGGAAACCCAACAAAGTTGAAAATGAAATATATTTCTCTTCAGATTAAGTACAAGACTCAATGTTGCTTTAATTGATGCTCAGAAGAATCAAGGTTTGTTTGTAAACTTCTTATTTTTAAAACTCACTAACTAGATAAATAGCCAACAAACTAACTGAGTAATGAACTAATTAAGTAGCTAAATAACTAACTAAACTAAATTATTTCGTTATTTTATGAATTAAAAAATGGCCAATTATTTAATGGCATTTAACCATTGAATGTTCAAATCAAGTAATTTTTCAAAATTTTTCCCGAAGGTCTTCTTCGTCGTTTCAAGATCAATACTTTTCCATCTATTTATTTGTAAGTTTTTATATATTTTTTCATGTTTGTAAATTTACTGTATGTTAATCCTAGGCATTTATATTTGGTTCCATGAATCAGACCCTGCCCCAATATGACCATCATTTTATAAGTTTTTTTCATATGTGTAGTGTAAATGAGTTACCTTGCATTACAAATGATTTAATTGAATTTATGAGAAAACATATTTGCTTTAGATGTATATCTACAGGTTAATCTATATGAAATTTTATAATCTTTTATTCAGGGAGAAAGTGGAGGGTATTGTCCTCGCCCCCTGTAACAAGCCAGACATGAAACAAAATAGGACTTTAGAATACATCAATGTTCACCACCATACCACACATAAAAAGGGCCTAACTTAAAACACGTGTAAACAAAGATAGAGCCTAAATTTATTTTATGCAGATATTTGATTCTGATGTTCAGAAGGGATAACACCCCCCCCCCCCTAAGGCACGTGAATTGTTCAATGGTTTCTTTCGTTTGCTAGCTTCCGTCATGGATTTCAGTTCGCATACCTGGGATCAATTGATCAGACAAAACTTGAGAATTTTGCATTGGGTGGATACAGAGATGTACGAAAAGAGGCTGTGACAAAACCACTCAGTACTTTGTAAGTCGTATATCAATTAATCATTAATCGTCCTCATTTAATCATCATCATAATAATTATCATAGTCACTGTCAATCGTCAGTAGATCATCATCAATCAGTGATCAATCAGTCATCAGCCGTACAGTCATCAGCCGTACAGTCATCAGCCGTACAGTCATCAGCCGTACAGTCATCAGCCGTACAGCCATCAGCCGTACAGCCATCAGCCGTACAGCCATTATCAGCCGTACAGCCATCAGCCGTACAGCCATCAGCCGTACAGCCATCAGCCGTACAGCCATCAGCCGTACAGCCATTATCAGCCGTACAGCCATTATCAGCCGTACAGCCAAGCAGCCGTACAGCCATCAGCCGTACAGCCATCAGCCGTACAGCCATCATCAGCCGTACAGTCATCAGCCGTACAGTCATCAGCCGTACAGCCATCAGCCATCAGCCGTACAGCCATCAGCCGTACAGCCATCAGCCGTACAGCCATCAGCCGTACAGCCATCAGCCGTACAGCCATCAGCCGTACAGCCATCAGCCGTACAGCCATCAGCCGTACAGCCATCAGCCGTACAGCCATCAGCCCTACAGCCATCAGCCGTACAGCCATCAGCCGTACAGCCATCAGCCGTACAGCCATCAGCCGTACATCGTGCCTGCCTTGATCTTCCATCTCAGTTCTATCGAAATTGAAAAATTGTAGCTTAATTAAAAAGTAATGAAGATTCTCCGTATTTATCTCAATAAAATTGTCTTAATTTGTTTTACCATTTTCTATAGTGACATCTGGCTAGAAGACACAACTCAAGAAATCATGGTACAGGCACAGCGTTATACATGCCTTATAATTTTAGCTTTTTATTTTCTGCTCCAAGTTGCAATTCAAAGGACTTGATTTAAAGTTGGAAGAACACACTAACATGGATCCTTTTCCTAAGCAGAAGAGATCTTTAAATGTTGTATGGCTCTAGCTGGTAATGCTAGAACATAGAAGGAGCATCCAGGGAGCAGGGGGAGGGGCAAGTGCACCTAACAACAGAGACCAAGAGCCTGTTTACAGCTAATGGAGGTCTTTTTGACTGTATGTGCCCCCCCTGATGTGTCATCCGTAGATAAAGTGCCTATTTGCAGTTAATGGAGACTTTTTTGCCTACATATTTGACCCTATGACTTTTAAATATTTCCTAGTCTATACGCTAGGAGTTTCTGGAGGTGGAAGGTAATGAGCAAGAGGCGGGAGGAGGTGTTTAAGTGTGTTTTATGCACAAAACCAGTTATTAATAAGTTTATGCTACCGACTCTCTGATTATTAATTCATTCTGTTCTAGAATCTGTTAAAATCTTGGGTGCCTAAACACGTTGGATTTTTCATTATTTTCATGCCTAGATATAATAAGCTTTACATAAGTTTCCATTGTCACACTAAACCCTTTTTGCGCTTCCTAATTTCCAACTGTCTTTTTTCTCTATATATGCTTGCAGTATAACACTGATTGACGTTCCTCTGACCCTAGGTGTCAATTAAAGAACGAAAGCTGCCATCAACTTCAACTATAGGCATTGCTGCTGGGACATTTTTACTCTGCCTCGCATTTCTGTTTTGTTGTTGCTCTGGTACGAGGCCGGAGCCTGTTACACAAGCAAAGAAACGTCAGTAAAAAAATCTTGCACAAATAATTGTTATCATTGATAATAACAAAATAAATTTGATTAAAATATCGAAAGTTTCCACGAAATTCTGTGTGAAGTATTTGTTTGTTAGTATAAAAGCTGAAAAGATTTATCTGCTAATTTGAGAGCTGTCTCTAACTGCATTCTGTTGCTTTCGCCGAGATTTGCTGCGATAGTCGAGAAGTAAAATTTAGGCCCGCGTTTTTTTCTTCCATTTTCAACACAGGCGCTACTGTATCCAAGGAATATGGAATATATATGGCATATTATGTATCCAAATGATATTTGATTGTATGGATTATGATATACCCAAGTTTAACCAATAGGAAAGAGGAAGAACCTGATAAGCTTTCTGTCAACCAATCAATGCACACTAACCTCTCACGTGTTACTTGTCAAGTTTAGGTAATCCAACGACTAGGGTATTTGTAGGTTTAAATCTCCGTGTTGTTTCTTCACAACAAGGATAAGAAACAAGAAACTACCTTGAGAGATCCTTCAGTAACATGTTTCATGTCATTACCTTGATCTCAATTTCAGCTCCAAGAAATTTATCGGAGTAGTCTTTTAAAGGGGCCCAATTTACCCTTTCTCTTTAAAGGCATTTGACATGCATAAGTACAGCGAATCCGAAAATAACTCGAGCGTTTGAAAGGAATTTGAAACTCACGTGAAACCACTCTAGGGTTTCGCCGATTTGCAGAAGAGGCTGTTCTCACGATGTTTCTCTCTGTGCGCAATTCGATTGGTCAGGCGCTGGTGGTCAAGTGGCTGTAAGCCAATTTTACCTGTGTCGAATACCTATAAGAACCTTACCTCTATGATGTGCCTGCTCTAATGCTTATTAAAACAGATTTTACAAGGTGCCTAATTTTCTTTGTCTGCTCAAGAACCTGACCTTTATCGTGTGCCTGCGTTGAGGTTCATTTTAACAGTTAATAGAAGGTGCCAAACTTCACTGTCCCCTTACGAACCGCACTCAATCTGTATGATCTTCAGTTCAGTTCTTACAAATGAATCATAGAAGCCTTTGAAAAGTACCCAATTTCTCTGTCCCCTTGAAATCGTGGCTACAATCCTAGACTTTCCCAAAGTCTATTTTATGTTAAATCCGTAAGGCATTCCCACTAATGCGAGGGCATATCTAAACTGCGGAGGAGAAATAGACTTCGGGACAGTCTACTACAATCCAGACACCTCCCGTTTAAACTATAGCATTTGGCCCCACAAGATGACAATGATTTCCACAACAATGGATAAAAATGTTGTTGTCTCTTTCGTTTGCTGATATTGTTAAAAAATTGAAATTATAGATTGTAACTATGGCTACAGACACGGGTCCTCTGTCTAATTTGGTCGTCAACAATCCAAAAGAAAATTACAAAGTCCTCATTGCCACCTTTGCCTCTAGACCAAATTTGCTGATTTTTACAGTTTCCACACGGTCAGTTTTGTCATGTTTAAGCCCCATGACCTTCTACGAGAGCAAGTTAATGCAGCAAGAGATAGGAAGATGGAATCCTAGGGGTTGAGTAAAATTGGACAGTTGATGTCAAGGGGGATTTATCACAAAGAGAATTGTTGAAGAATACGTTAGGCAGAGACATAAGTTCACTCACAAAGATATGAACTTGAAATGGAATGGAGATGAAAAGATATCAATTTGCGCTTGCTAGAAGAGTGGGCGAATGGAAAGTTGCCCGGGTCACTTGACCCAGGACTGCAATTCACGGAAATTCCAATGGGGACACAGGTCCGGCTTGTTTTTGATGAATTTGCTCGTTTCACTATGTGGTTTCAGTGGATGCAACTAAAAAAGGATACATTTTTAATCGCTTTGTAGTGATACGGTTATTGACAACGGGTCTTAGCCTAAAAAAAATCAGGAGGTATTTTAATTTTTAAAATATCAAAAGTTTGCGAATTTGGCAAATCTTCAAATGAGAAAGCGAGATCGAGGCTGGTTGGCATTCATTCAAAATGGCGACCAACCACGGTAATGTGAAAATCATTGCAGATGATTCTCAATTTCAGCCAGAACTAAGCAACGCAGGAAGCAAGCTTGTGGTTGTGGATTTTCATGCTACATGGTAAATTCCATATTTTTGATGATTTAAGCGTTTAGTATTGCTGAACTACGTTTAAATCGAGAAGCCGGCCATTTTCTTCTAGCGTCTTTTAGGTTAGGCCGTACTTAGTCAGCAGAAAATTTGTTGTGTCTTTGTCTAATTGGGAAACCTTAGTATGATGCTCTACATACTCCCGCTCCTCCAATTGGCCCCACCCTTCGAAAAAGACCACTTGAATAAGCCCCAATCCTTGAGTTGAGTAAGTCTGGCCCCATTCCAAGAAGAGTGAAATATTTCGCTTCAGCAATTTTTTATTGAAAGTGATTTGTTTCCCGTTTTTCCATATTAACATGAACTTAGTGCCTGAGTTTACATGCGCCAATTAAAAAATGATAGTTAGGCTATGTTGCCCATGTTGCCTATTTAGTTAGCCATGCCTCAAGAGTTGTCAATCTGATATTATATTGATCAAAGAGTTATTACTCCTTTAACAGACTGTATAGAGTATTTTCCCGCGCGGAGAACGCCAGATAATAATTTTCTCGTTTGTGGATAACTAACGTTTCCCGCAAAATCATGAGCGGAAATGGTGGAAATTTGCTGGGACCAGATAAACAAATATCTTGCCCAGATTCTTTTTAATATGCTTATGCACAGGCAGAATGAAGGATACAAATTATTGTCTGGGGAACTTTTCAGTCTGGCTCCTGAAAGCACACAGCAATCAACTCAGCGTTATTATCAAAACTGCATCAAAACTGGTCTATGAGTAGGTCCATGTTTGCTCTTGTTTGCTTATCTGGAGGACAGTTTTGAAAAAATGTAACATGACAGGTAAAGCTAAGGCAATGAAAGTATCCTTCTTCTCATTGTGATTTCCTCGATGTGTTTTAGTAATTCAATAATTTAGAAATGGAAACCAAGGCTGACCTCATCTGACACTGGGATTTTTTTTTCTTTTAGGTGTGGTCCTTGCCTTAAAATTGGTCCAACATTCGTGAAATTCAGCACAAAGTATAATAAAGCAGTTTTCTTAAAGGTTGATGTTGATCAATGTGCGGTAAGAAAACTTTCTTGTTATTTCATGGACATTATACTCCATCAATGTTTATTCAAACAATTTGATTGCTTGTTGTTCTGTAGTGACTGTACTAGGCCATTTTTCATTCACTTCCTACTCATTCATCCAGCATGCCAAAACTATGAAATCAACTTGCATCATTTACAACATCACATACAATAAGCCATTTCCTTCACCATTGTTTACAGCTTCACACATCTAAGTCATGCTGACTTCTTCCCAAGTCTAGAAATTTCCTTCTTCATTGCATCATAATTACATCATCAAAACACATCCTTACTCAGCACATTTATTTTGTATAGAAGCATGTTAATTTGTATGTAGTTGTATGTAATTTGATTGCTTGTGGCTCTTCTGCTGACTTCCCATAATCTTCTATCTTGTGCTTGGCAGTTGCAATCAACTAAAAATGTACCTACCAAGTTTTTGATGTTATTCATTGAAAATATACTCAATTATAATCAATAATTACTTAAACATTTTCTTATTATTTCCAATTAGCATCTTTTACATTTCTGTTAAACGTGTGATAGGAAAAACAATCTTCTTTGAACCTTGAATAACAAAACTTCCCATCTGTCCCAGCTGACAACAAACTCTTTATCTTAGTCTTTCATTTCCCTGAAACTCAGAGTAACAACTAAGAACCGTTTTGTTTTGTATAAAAAGTGTGTACAGCACTGCCTGTGTGGTACCACAGGCACCACAGAGCATTGAGAATAGTGGAGGGTCTTAAAAAAGTGGGGGGCTAAAACTGAATAAGTAGAGGCTTTCCTGATGGTTCTTCTCTTGATGTTGTACATTCTTGGCAAAAAGTGGGGGCCCCCAGCCTGTACCATAGCTTTATGACAGACTGGTAAACTGTTTTAATTTAATCAAAGCTTATTTTTTATATTTTATTTCTTTTCACAACTTCTTACATCAACCTCTGCTTTATTCACAGGATGTTGCTGCTAAGTATGGGATCACAGCAATGCCAACCTTTTTATTCTTTAAAAATAAAGTTAAAATAGATGAAATGCGTGGAGCAGATGAGGCTAGTTTGGAGAAAAAGATAAAACAGCATATTGGAGATGAAGGCGGGGAAGACGATGTTGGAGTAGCTGGCCATGTAAGGACTCTTTACTTTCTTTTCTGTAATTTCAGTCATATAATGAGCATGGTCAATCAGTGCAACCCTACCCCTGATAAGACCCCCATTCATATCTAATATATGCAAATTGGGGGCAATGTAAACCTAAAGAAGAATCAACCCCAATTTCATGTAGGCCCTCAATAGACACTCTATTCATTTGAAAGCTCCTTGTACAAACCTTAATTAAAGAAACCTCATTTGTAAATTTGCAGAAATGAGCCCAGAGGAATAAGCTCCAGCTTCTTATAGACCCTCTAGTGCAAACTCCAGCTAATGCCCCAAATAAAGGGGAAATGTGAAACTTTGGGAGTCTTTTGGCTACCCCATGCCTGTTTTCTATGATTTCTGAAGATGGAGTATTGCTCTTCTTTGAAACGTTAATATATTATAATAACCAATTTTAAAATTAAGTTGAGTCATTTTTATAAGTCTCAGGGAAACCCTAATATATACACCAAAGAAATGGAGACAGTGTGAGCCTATAGAGTGTGGTTTACCCGAAGAATTTCATTAGTTCTTTAGTTTTTTGCTTTTTTTGTTGTAATTTCACATTAAAATTGAAATATCACGTTAAAATTTTCTCGAAATTAAAGGAAGCTTTATTATCAGGGTTTTCTGGAGGTTTTCAGAATACGTCCAAGGGAGATATCAACATTTTCAGACTTTGTTGCACCCAATATGGTTGTTTGTTATGGACTCATGGGTATAAATATTATTTGTTTTCAGGTTGATTTGGGAAGCTTCATTTCAATGGCAGGATGCGCATGCTTGAATGAAAGTGATGAAAACACATTTCAAAATGCCTTGAAGAAAGGACCAACGTATCTTGAAAGTGATTGTGATGAGGAGGTATAATTATCATACATTATCATGATTAGCATGGCAATAGAATAGAACTGAGTTCATATCTTTACTTAATAGAATGTATTAGTAGAGAAACTTTTGGGGTACAAATGCACCTATAAGAGAAACATGATGATGATGATGATGATGATGATGATGATGATGATGATGATGATGATTATGATGATGATTATGATGATTATGATGATGATGCACCAGTTCCAATCAGAATCCAACAGGGCTCTGTGTTAGGCCCTTTATTATTCAGCAAATTCGTTGACACTAGAGCACAGCAAAGAATAAATAATATTGATTCATTGTTAACAAATTTGCTCATATGAATTGGCTATCCCACCTGGAAGCGGGGAAGTCTTCAAATTTCATGTGCAAGATGACTTATGACAAAATATTTAAAAAAAATTTTTAAGAAAATTTAAAATAAATAAAATAAAATAAAAAAATTTAAAAAAAGGCCCTTTATTATTTAGCTATTTCGTTGACACTAGAGCACAGAGAAGAATAAATAATATTGATTCATTGTTAACAAATTTGCTCAAATATGAATAGGCTATTCCACATGGAGTCTTTACATTTCATGTGCATGCCTGATCACAAAATATTTAAACAAATCTTTTTAACAAGCAGGAAGAAGTTTCACTAAATGAACACATATTTGACGCAATTCCTTTCTATTTTCAGCTTCTTTTGACTATCTCCTTCACACAACCAGTCAAGCTACACTCAGTGAAGATCGCAGCTCCAGATGATGGTAAGGTTTTCATATTATTCAATGTGTCTTCAGGAACTGTTGTTGTTTTTTGAGGAGTAGTGGTTTAAAGGCTGAGCAAAGTGGGATTTTTATTGCTTACAGGTGCTGTTTAATTCATGAAAATTAGTCACAGAAATTCTGTTTCGATATTTTTTCAATGCTTTTTTAAAAAATGGCCTTTTCGCTGTCTGCACATCCATAACTCCACCACGCACAGTCTAGATATGCTCAAAAATTAACCTTTTAGTGACACTTCGGAATAATTATAGGATGAAATTCTTCCCCCTCCCCTCTGTGTTCATGGCCAGAAAGGGCAGATAAGGGGAAGGAAGAGCATTTTCAGTCGCACATTGTCATACAATTGTAAACGAGACAATTTTCAATTTTTGTTCATATGAGAACATTTCATCCCCTTTTTACCGAGAAGAAATTCTTCTGTGACCAGATTTTGTCATAAGTGGTCCTGTGCAAGCGGGGTAAAGAAATTTTCACCTCGGCAGGTGGTATAGCCTATTTATCTGGGAGAATTTCATCCAATCTTGCACAATCTCACTTAACTCGGGTGAGATCCCGATTGGCTGGGTTATTCGCCTTCCCGTATAAATAGAAAGCTAATTTAGAGAGATAAATGAAGGTGAAAGGAGATCTTATCTTTCAGCTAAACTTTCTATCCCTTTAGGCAGGATTAAATTTTTCACTGGGCCTAAAGAAAGGATAGAAATAAACAGTTCGATTTTTCGAAAAATGAATTCCAAAATCGAATTTGAAAATCGAAAATTTAATTTGAAAATCGAAAATCGAATATTTATGGTCACTCGTGTTCTATTTTCGAATGTTGGTAGAACCCTGGTTTCAAACTCTTTACAAATTAGCCTAAAATAAACGCCTCCTTTAAAAAGCGCCTGTTTACAGGTGGAGGTGGTGGGCGCTCAATCAAAATTTAGTCTAGAACGAGTTCCTGAGACCTAATTTTTAGTCTTACTGGAACAGGGATGGCAGTTTGCCAATAAAGAGTAGAAATAAACAACAAAGTTTGTTCTAATTTACATTCTTGTTTGTCTTTCTTTTCATTTTCTCATAGCAAGATAAAGTTCTCAAATCTCTCTTTTCTTTTTTGTGTTCGCTTGAGTTGCTTTCAAAACTTCCAGAAAAATTAAATAAGCGCCCTGCTGGAATGAGTGCCTTGCTTGAATAAGCGCCCCCTCCTTTGAGGCCCAACAATTAAATAAGCGCCCGGGCAGCAGATGTTTTTTTGCCGTTTTAAATCCCGTGTATCCAACGTAAAACCAAGAAAATACTAATGTAAAATTTAAATGTACCACAACTTTATTAATTTACTGCTTTAAGTTTCGCAATTATTGGTTTTTCTCTTAATTGAATAAATAAATATATATTTTTGGCTTGTGACTCGACGCCACATTATACAATTTCCAAAGCTTCTCCTTGTTTACAAAAAAGACGAATTTTTTTAACTAAACAGTCTCTACTCTGTAAAAGTGATACAGTTTTATTTGCCGCGTCTAAACAATACTCTAATTTTCAAGCCAATGTATAAACTCAAGGATTTTTAACAACTTTGCTAGATAGCCTTTCAAAAGGTACAATGCAATGCTAGTTTTCTCGACATTTTTGTTATATGATTAGTTCATCATAGTATTAACTAGTTAAACTTTATTCTGAAATTTAGTTGTTATTGTATTGAAAAATGCGGCTCTTACTTAAATTTCTTTCCAAATAAACCTAGTTTAGAAATTTTGGATGGGTAGTTTTCAGTTGTACTTTAAGGCAACCTCGACGCCTCTTTAGGCCCAAATTTTCGTATCTTAGCCAGCTCGCAACAGATTAAACTGTTTTCCGCCCTTGCAGTCATTTGTTCTTTCATTTCAGGTAACATTTTGCAAGAATTCAACTTAACGACTTTATTACTGTCAACAAAATAATTCTGTATATGGGAGCTCTTCTTGACAAATTGTAATTCCATGTTTTAGGCCGAGGACCGAAAACCATCAAAATTTTCAAGAATCAACCATCTGCTATTGATTTCGACCAAGCAAAGCGAATGGAAGCTTTACAAACTCTTAAGTAAGTTCAAAATTGAAATTCTTGATTTTCGTTGCTCTGATGTGAACCATTTTAGTTTGAACTGAGAATTGGACAGGAGCTGTATTTCTGGATGAAATTCTTCAATCAATCTTACAAATGTCAAACAGTTTAGTCAGAGAGAGAAGATTTTACTAGCTGGCATAGTAAATCAATCAACCTTATCGCACCTTTCACCTTTTATGTTTGACCCTTCACCTCAGACTTCTTGTATTTGACCTTTCGCCTTTCACCTCTTATGGTTGACCCTTCACCTCAGACTCCTTGTATTTGACCTTTCGCCTTTCACCTCTTATGTTTGACCCTTCACCTCAGACTCCTTGTATTTGACCTTTCACCTTTCACCTCTAATGTTTGACCCTGCACCTTAGACCTCTGTAGGACATTAAGCTTTGTTAATTTGGCTCCAAAGATTTCTTTAATCAGCTATTTTAGACAACTGTAACTTCATTTGCCTAATTAAAAGGTATTGTGATTCAGGAATAATGTGTGCATAATTTCAACTGAAAGTAAATTCCAAGATTGAACATTGTTCAGAATTTGACATTTAAGTGGCTGCTACAGCAATCGTAAGACGAAATAAAAGCTATTTGAATTCTGTCCAATGAAATCCTTATTTTTCTGCCTACTCCAGCTATTCTATGAAGTACATATGAAATTGACCTTTATTGACCTTTCTTCTTTGACCTGTCACCTTTGACCTTCCTTTTTAGCTTATCCAGCGATGATATCGATGGAAACCAAATAATTGAACTGAGATATGTGAAATTTCAAGATGTGCAAAATATAATTGTAAGTATCAAAATTGTCGCTCATTTCTTGATCTCATGTGATTGAGTGATTCCTTTAATCGATTAAATCAGTGTTGAATAGATTGCTGTATCGATAATCAATTAAAGGAAACTATGATGAGCAAATTTCTTTACGATCTGAAATTAGAAAGGACGGATCAATTTTTCTGCCTGTAAATTTCCCTTGATGTCTGTTCCTGTTTAAGTGCACACAATGCAGAAGAACAATTTTAGCAAATCGGTTTTACGTCAGGATTAGAAAGTGAGAAACTCTTTTTCTCATTTATGTATGATACATCACTTTCTTTTGTTTGTCTCGCTGCAAATTGTGTCTTGCTAAACAGGAAACATTAGGATCCCAATTTTCGCAGGATCCCAATTTGTCTCCTCAACATGTGACTGTAGAAGAAGTTTTTAAATTCAGATTCATTTTTACATCATTGTTGAAAATCCTACGAAATTCAAAGGTCACCTTAAAGGTGAAAGGTCATGCCCTATTCTCATTGATTTTATCCTTTCTGTAGATTTTTGTTCAAGATAACCAAGGAGGCGAAGAGACAACAGTCATCGGTAATTTGACCATAATTGGAAGTCCAAGCGAAGCTACGAAAATGAGTGATTTCAAAAGGGTAAGTGACCTTTGACCTTAAATATCATTGGAAGTAAGAAGTTCCCATGAGCAGGAAAAGGGACCTTTAGTGTGTGGCACAGTTCGTTGCTTTCTCTACAAAATCTATGACTTGGTCTTCAAGTTTCTCAACCATCCTCCAATTAATTAAGTACTTGATAGGATCTTCATGTTTCTAAAGGAAATAGTTGTACTTTTAGTGTGTTTTGAAAAAATCTTCCAATATGATTTTCCAATAAGAAATCACAACTTATGGTAAAATTCACCTTTGCATAGACCACAAAATTTAAATTGCTATACAAATTATTTTATGAATAAACTTTCTACGACTATTTTTAAATGCTTATAATCTTAAGACGTTTCCAAGACCCCCAGTTATTTTAACCCCCCATTGCCCCGTTTATCTCTGGCCTAAGATCACTTTCCCAGATGGTCAACAGTGGACTAGAATCAGGGACGGATTTAAGCAGTAAGGATGGGGGAGGGGGGTGTTAGACAATCATTGGATTTTGTGCCATACCCTTTCGGTGACTGGAACTTTTCTGCATCATTTTGTTGCTACAGACTACCAAAAATTGCTCTTTACCGAATCGAAGCAATATTCACCAAAGAACACAAAAAGATTTGGGGGAGGTGTCGCACCTCCACATCCCCCTGTAATTCCGTCCCTGATTAGAATCCTTGAGGCCAACAAATGTCAACAAAGGTGAGAACCTATCAACTATGTTTGAAAAATAAATTTCTTCTTCAAACTCTACCTTTTTTTCAAGGTTGCTGGGAAAGCCGGGGAGAGCCATTAAAACAAAGGAAACAAGCACATTGTTTGAATGGTAGATGCCCTAATAGAGCGATTACATACAATTTTGCGCAGCCTCGTTACCACGTGCTGCCTCGTTTTAAAGATGGAAGGCTGCTTGGTATGTGAAAAGTCCAGAAACAATTTTGTTCATGAATATCACTTTCTGATTATTGAGTTGAGTTAAGATTCTAAACATAGTCGATATGTATTCATCATGAATCGCTAAGGATGATTTAATTGTCGTTTTCCTGATATTGTCTTAAGTATGAAAATGAAAATTACTGTGTACCGGTCTGTCATAAAGTGCTCGATTCCTTACAAGAACAGAACAGAACGAGTTCTATGTTGCTACTCCGAGTTTCACGCTTAATGCGTTCATTTTCGGTTATAGGATGTAAGTGATTACATTACCGTAAATCCTCGAATTAGCCCCCTGGGGTCTTATTTATTTTCTATATTTTTGGATGGGGGCTAATTCGAGGGGGGGGCTTATATGATTGGGGGCTTATAAAATTGTTGTAGACATTAAGAAGACATTATTAAAAGACCTTGTTTATATTAGTTGGAATTTCTTTATAAGCATTTAATTAGTTATTACCAAAAGTACGAATTTGTTGTGGTAATTCAATAAAACGCCGTAGGCAACCTCAGATGGCAAAAATCATCAAATGGAGGGGTCAATTCGAGAATTTGCGGAAGCAGTGGAGGCTTATTCGAGGGAGGGGGGCTTTTTCGAGGGAGGCCGATTCGAGGATTTGCGGTTTTTATGTATCCATTGTTTTGTACTTGAGATTTCTGTAGACGTATTGTCAAAATTGCAGTATCCTAAAATTTTCATTCAAATGATTGTCATTTTAGTTGTCCTTTACCGGGGCCATTGCTACGAGGGGCAAAAGAAGTCTACACTCCCTTGACAGCATTCCTTCTTTCTTTCTTTACCTGTTTCACTTCTTAGCCCTTTCGCCTTTCCCCTTCCCTCTTGTTCACTTTCTTCTCTTTCGCCCTCATATTATTTCTCCTTTGCCTCAAAGTTTGTTTTTCAATCCAAAGATATTCTGTTACCTGATACTCCCGGGTGATTGCTAGTAAGGGTGTGCAGGTTGACAACCCCTTGGAAAACAACTCTGTTTGAAAAGAGTGTTTTTGCCAAAATGTTCGGGAAATACAGGATTGCTTATCTACTTTGTCGGCAAATGCCACCCAGAACCACCCATCCCCTCCCCCCCCCCGCATGAGCTAGTGACCCTCCTGTCCTTATATCAAAATAACCATACTTGATCGGTCATTGCACGTTTTCTTTGACCGTAAGCCTGAGCAAATTCAAAGATTTGTCTTGGGTTATTCAAACGTCTCCTTAAAGCAGTTTTGGTTTAGAAAAGTCAACAAGCTCCGACACTTCTGCGTACTTTAATAGACAACACAGTAAAATAGTGAAATGTGCAAAAATAGATAAAAATTGATAAAAATAGTTCAACTGTATTAGTGAAGAAATTACAAAATTCTAACCAAAGACCGTGGAGCATATTGCAGATTGAGGATATTGCATATTGCTAAGAACGGTAAAAATAAGAGTACGGTGATTTTTTGCATGGTTTTAAATACATTTTGGGTATTATTGGGGGGTTAAAGCCCCCATCAGCACCCCTACTTCCGCGGTCCCTGATTGTAACAATCATTGATTTATTCAACATATTGTTTCATATAAAAAATAGAGCGAACTGTAATAAGAAACAATATACAGTTAGAACTTGATATTTCAAATAAACATTTTAAAACGCACGAAAGATTTTTGTATGATTATAAAACATCAGGATAGTGATTGAAAACTTTTCTCTACTCAAAGACAATCAAAATGTCCGATTTTTGTCATCATTTTAACCACTCTTTTTGCCATTCTGTCATAAGCAATTAAGATGGGTTTACATTTGAGTGTGGAGCTAGCTATTTAAAAGTTGACTATTTTAGGGGCTGCTCCTTCGAAAAGGGCCCTCATGCGAAAGGGGATGCTCCAAGAAGGATTTAAAATACAATAACATTATAAATTACAGAAATACTAGTTGTGTAAATGATGTTAGAAATTAAATGAGGCTTAAAAAGCATTTGGGTTATGAGGTTAAGAAATATTTCGGCAATACCACGCCATGCTAGTATTAGCAACACTACTGAAGGGTGGACAGGACCCAAGCCACGAATTTGAAAATGAGGGGGGCAAGGCTAGCAAAAGTAGGGGGCCAAGGCTACTTTCCCCATTTAATGCAGCTTTAAAACTGCTTGCTTCGCAAAAAACTGCTTGCTAGTTTACAAGATGTTGAAAACCTTTGGTTTATTTTGTGCAAATCAAGTCGTTCCAAAAACCCTCAGCCACCCCTTCCCCCTCTTCCTCCAACCAAAAAAGGGCAGTACACCTATTCCTTTGAGCTTCAAAATTAAACTCACCAGGTTAGGAGGCTTCACTGGCTGCAAGTCTCTGTTCTGATTTCTTTCACGAGCTACGCTAACAAAGGTGTGCTGTGAAGGAGCTTGAAAGAAACTACGCTAGAACGAGACTTTCAGCAACTCAAGAATGCCGCATACCTAAATCAGATGTTGGAATTATTTTTCAATATGAAAGTTAGATTCTGCAACCCAAATAATCAAAACGTCAATCATGATTGGATGATTATCAAACTGATCGCATAGTTGTGAGTAATCCAACGAATACAGTTCCCAGCAGAACCATTTTGCTCGTGACGTCACGATTAGCTATAGATCTTCTCCTGTAGGAGGATCGTCGCCTTGTTGAAAGCCTCCTTCTCGATGAAAACCTTCTTCTCGATGAAAACCCCCTTCTCGATGAAAATCTTGATGAAGACCTTCGTGCATCGGATTTCGGACTTGCTATACCTGAAATTGTAAAACCGACAAGCTCGTGTACATACAAGCATATATTATCATTCTATTTTTTATAGTTGAAAGCTAAACTTTATGCTAAAAGGGGGCTGATTTCTTCCTTGGTAAATATCATGTAGGGCATTGGGGGCTTGCCAGGGCTGCCGAGAACAAAGCTGAGCCATGGGGCAGCCAATGGGTGTCGCCTCTTGCTTGACAGCGAATATGGGTACCAGTTTAGGACAATGAAAACAGATTCCAAAATTACGGGCACCAGACGGAGCCTGGGCGCCAGTGCACTTTCCCCGGCTACCCTTCCCTAGCGGCAGTCCTAGCGAAAGCCCATGAAAGGTGTTATCTACCCCTCCACCTCGAGCGAAAGCCTGAATTTCCGGCACTGGGTGCCGCAAAATAAGCACGATAGCACAAAAATCATATTGATTCAAGTTAGACAAAGTTTTTACGTCTTGGTTTCAAATGGTTTAACCACACAAAGAGAATTGTCATTGCGAGGCCCCATTAGAACAGCCCCCCCCCCCAGTGTTCTCTAGAAATAAGAAAGGCGTGTTCCGTTGAAGTGCGAGGCGTTTTCGTAGAGTTTCCTGGTCATTTTAACTTCCTTTTATAAAGATTTAGCAGAACACCCCGGCTCAAAACAAGAGTTTGGTGGCCTAAAAGTGAGGTGAGTCTCTTTCAGTATAATGCTGAATGCAAACAGCAGTGGGGTACAACAGGCACCGCGGAGCGTTGAAAAAAGTGGGGGTCTAAAAAAGTGTGTGGGGGGGCTAGAACCGAATAAAAAGAGGCTTTACTGATGGTTCTTCTTTTAATATCGTGAATGTCGTAAAGGTTTTCAGCCCCCTAAAACCGTACTATGTTCCGTGGTCCCTGAAATATATTTTTATGCTCGTTGGCCTAACTTCCGGTCAATAAAGAATTGTAACCAGCCTGAGGACAGTAGTTGGTAGTATACTAACCTGATTCAACTTCTTCAAAATCAAAGTTTTCGAATTCTTTCAGTTCTTGCAAAGGATCATATTCTAGAAAAAACATTGCACAGAGCTCGTCATCATGACTACAATTAATAGAATAATAATAATGATCACATCGTCATCATTGTCATCATCATTATTGTCACCACATTCAACATCAATCATTGATTGTGAATCACCAATCAACATCAATCACTCATCCTCAATCATCAATCAACATCAATCATTGATTGTCAATAACCAATCAACATCAATCATTGATTGTCCATCACCAATCAACGTCTGTTGTCAATTGTCAATCAACATCGATCACTCATCATCAATCATCAATCAACATCAATCATAGACTGTCAATCACCGTATAAAACCCCAATCATTGATTGTCAATCACCAATCAACGTCTGTTGTCAATTGTCAATCACCAATCAACGTCTGTTGTCAATTGTCAATCACCAATCAACGTCTGTTGTCAATTGTCAATCACCAATCAACATCAATCACTCATCCTCAATCATCAATCAACATCAATCATTGATTGTCAATAACCAATCAACATCAATCATTGATCGTCAGTCATACATCAACATCAATCATCAATTGTCAACATCAATCATCAATTGTCAATCATCAATCACCATCAATCGCTCATCCTCAATCATCAATCAACATCAATCATTGATTGTCAATAACCAATCAACATCAATCATTGATCGTCAGTCATACATCAACATCAATCATCAATTGTCAACATCAATCATCAATTGTCAATCATCAATCACCATCAATCGCTCATCCTCAATCATCAATCAACATCAATCATTGATTGTCAATCACCAACATCAATCGTTGATGATAATAATCATAAACTTTATCAAGACTAGCATACCTGCATCTCCTTTTGATAAACCAAACAGACATATCAGCGAGGTGCAAATGAAAATGATTGAGATATTCATGATTGAAATACGATCCCTTAAAAAAATAAAGAGAAATATAGAGAAAGCTACGGGACTATGCAACTAATTCAGAATCAAGGAGTATTGCTAATGTTGACTGAGTTTGATGCCGAAACCAAATACCATTTTACAGGCATGTGACGCAGGCTAGATGGAGCTTGGAGTGAAAATATTTTTGCGGCCTCATATTCTGAAAACGAAGAGCAAGGTGATCGACCGTTCGTTCCATGCAGATAATGAGGAGAAAATGATGGTGGTGGTTTGAGGGGGGAGGGGGGTTGTTATCATAATTGTGTATGAGTTTGTGTATGAGTTTCAATGTCTTAAAATAAGGTCTTATTTTGTTCTGTAAAGACCATACTGTGGTTGACATAACAGGGCTTGCTAGTGTCAATGGTAGATCACAAAGAATTTGAACCTTCTTGAAAATTTTATTTATTTAACAAAGCACAAAACCTTTTTGAAGGGGAATAGCTGGGGAGCAATGGAAGATTGAAGGCACTGGTGGTCATCTGGGGGGGGGGGGGGGCAAGGAGACAATGGTCTTATGTTCTGAAACAGTGAGAAAATACGACACGTCATGATTTCATCAAAATAATAGGCTTGCCCCCGATGTTGGACCAAGTTTCTGCCCCTGGTTGAAGAAGCGATTGCCCCAATGTTGGTTTGCTAAAAAAGGCCCATTAATTAGATGACGAGGCGTGAAGCATTGGAGTTTCTAAAGTGATGACGTCACATAAATCTATTTTTAGAATTATTGAATTTGTATCCCATAAACTGAAAGAGCATCATAAATACCATAAATAAGTATGCAAAATCAGTCAAATGTGTTACGTATTGGCTGAGATATGACCACAGTGTATTGGGGCTTTCCCCATCTGTATTTTGGTCTCAGTTCATAACTTTATGGAAAAAGCGAAAATAACGCTGATTCGTTTGTAAACTTCACATCTTTCATTGGCAATATCTCAACTGAGTTTGGACATATTTGACTAATTCGGCATATTGGTTATTATTTCATGGTGATTTTTATGTCATGTGGTTAAAATTCAAAAATTCTGAAAATAGGTTTTTGATGACGTCATACTTGACGTCAGAACTCTATATAGCCAAAAACAAAACATCTGATTCAGCCCTGCTTTGGTTGTAAAATCTTTAAAATTTAGGGCGTTTCCTCCACTTAAGAGGGCGTGGCACCTAAAAGATTTCTGTCCAAGCCTTGTGACTTCCTGTCCATCCAACATATTTCTTGCAAGTGCCGCCCCTGCCCAAATATTTGATTTGCAAGATGAGTTCATTGTAATCGTTTTTCTTCAGCCTGTTGTCTTTGTATTTTGATGGAAAGTCTTAGGCCTATCGCAAGCAATATAACGATCGCAGGCAAGGACGCTTCCACCAGGGGGCAGTGGGGGCAGCGGGGGCTTCTTGCCTTCGCGAAATTGAGCATTCTCTTCGTTTTACTTTTGTTTTGCCTTTTTCATTGGCGCTTTGCCCCGTTGCTATCTTTGAGTGTAGGCCTCCCTGATCAAAGTCCAGTATAAACGGAAGGGAAGGAGCATTGCAAAAAGACTTAGAAATACCTATCGCAATTGAAATGTAATTCGGAAAGCTAGAGATTTAAAAATGAATAAAGTACAAGTTGAGATTTGGCTCTTACCTCGTTGCGCAAAGATACTGGGGTATAGTTTCTTAGCGCAATTTCTTTCTGAATCTTTGTCGCGTTTTTTGCAATGCTCAGATGAACCAGTATCGTTTCCGGTGACAAGTGATCAAATATTCACCCTTTCAATAACCAGACGTCCCCAAAATACATTCTTCCGTGGTCTTTTTTCAAGCTGGGCAAAATCGCATTCTGATCACATTCTGTGGTTCAGGAAGAAATAGGAAACCGGGGGTACAAAGCTTGAAAGGCTCACAGTGATCAACGCATGCAGGCCACTCCTCTCGTCAATTTCCGGGCCCCTTAAAAATTCCAGCTAACACACCCATGCTACTTTCCTCAACAGCAATATTTTACATAATAAAAATATTTTACTCATGACACTTGAAGTTTTGGGGGGGTTTTCAGAGGCGTTCTCTTCTCTGCAAATGCTCTCAATTACAGTATCCTTAGGATTGCCTAAGCGTGATGTTCCTCAATTTTCTCGAAATTTGCAAAAATCTTTCTGAGGTAAAATTGTCCTTAATGACCATGTACCTCTGGTATATAGTCGTTGAATTTAAAAACAGCTTTTTTACATTTACTTTCTTGCATAAATACATATCTCTCCTCTTCGGCAAACCTCTTCGCAACCAATCCCCTCAGTTTTTGAAATTCCCCTCTTCTTTTAGATCGTTGCCTCCAGATGAAAAAAATCATCAATTTTCTGTTTGTCGTTTTCACCAAAATAGCATCACCTCCCCCCTGACGTGATAAAAGAGGAATAAAATGCAGTTTTTTGCATTTTGAAGATTCTCTTTTCAGATCATTTGTTCCGCTGTTATTCTTTGTTTTTCGACTAAAACAAATTCTAAAGAAAGCGAAGAATTCTGGCTTCCGTTTGTTGTTGTTTTCTGTTGCCATGTTGAAGCCTTTTTTACACCGACACCATCAGTGGTGTCTCCAGCCCGGTCTCCAGGGGTCTGACTTCTGGAGCCCTGTGAATTTTTCCTGGAACAGCTATCCCTGTAATCCGGCAATGTTTCGAACAGGGGGCCAAGCCCCCTTTCTGAAATAACGCCAATATCTCAAGCATCCCCAGGTCTATGCAATTTTGGCGAAAATGGGGAGCATGGTCCTCGTATTCGCCTCGTAATCCCACCGTTATCGGGGGCCCCAAAAACAATTATGTACCCTTTTTGGAACAAGTTATCGGCAAGTCAAACTGCAAATGAGAAAAATGCTTGACGACACCATTATCCAGCAGCCTCGTAATTCTAAAGATCGCTATGGCAACCCATCTTAACTAGAGCAAGATCAAATTTTCAAAATGGCGTGTAAGAAAATGAACAGCTAATGCATGAAAGAAACTTGATTTCTATTGATGATTTTGTTCATTGTTAAATAATTAAGCCTTTACGAAGGACCACAATTTTATAAAAGAACATGGCAAAGAAGAATTCTGCTGGAAAGACCACGGGTCATGGCCACGAGAAAAATGAAAGGTCTGAATCAGAACGCTCGAAGTCTAGGCCAATGACCAGCGTTGGTTCGACTGTGCATTCAGATATCGACGAAAATGGTAAGTTTTGTCACCAGAGAGTAGTTAAGTAGCTTTTCTTTGTACAATGGTTTATTATCAAGGCTGCCAATTTCCTTCAATTTATGAAATAACCAAAGCATAATTCAAAGGTATGTGTTTAATTTTATTTCCAAATTTGATGTCAAATATTGGCATAAATCATGCTTTAATCGAAAGGAATTTTAGACTGGGGTGCTCAATTCCTTCAGGTTTTGAATTCCTCTGTAACTTAACGCTGCAAACTCGCGTAGATTTACTGGTTCAAAGAACATATGTGGCTTTCTAGGCCAATGCAACTTTGTCTGGGAAATCTACATCAGCTCCAAAAATCTAGTCTGCCTTTTACTTATCTATCAGATCATTTCGAAGTCATCTCCTCCGTTTTGAAAAGCCACTAATAGCAAGCATACCATGTTAAAATTCTATGCTTCAAGGTGTCAAATATGTGAAACTATGAAAAAGAAAAGAAAGCTATTGAACAATAATCACCACTTTGTTTGAAGAATTGGCACTAGACTAGAAAGGTCTGAGACTATGTGTTTGAAGTCATACATTCTCAGTTATTTTTGAGAGTCAATAACATTTAATGTTGTTATCAAGGGGTTTTGCGCAGCTGAAATGCAAAAGCACACAGATGTGGCAAACAAATTTTGTAAATTCAACTTAGGCAAAGGCAGAGTTGATATTGCTTGCAAAATAGTTTGATATTATGTGGATTTGCCACTTCTTTTGATTTCTTGTTTCCTTAATTATATAATTTATAAATTATCATTTTTTTTGGAGAAAATTCTAGATCCTGGAAATATATATCTAATGTAAATTAATCTGAACATAGGTTTTACATACAATGGTAAGGGCTGGATTAAGGTGGGTGCTATTAGTGCTGCAACATTAGACCCATTCCTGAAATAGGCCCAGATCAGGGCCATCAGAAGCAGGGGTCGCGGAAGCTGGGGGCTGGAATGAGGAGGGCTCAGTTGTTAGAGGCGCTGACTACAGATCTAAGGGTCCGTGTTTGAGTCTCCGACATGGCCAAACTTTCACCCAGAGAGGGGAAAGTTGCCAGCTCTGTGTAATTCCAGGCATAATAATCACGAGGTGTGGTCACAACGAGAGGAAGGACCAGGACACTGCTTGATAAGCATAGCTTCTCAGTGTCAAAAAAACATATACAAATACAAATACAGCCCCTCTAATAATCACCAAACTGTACAATATTTCCTTTATAGCAGTGTAATGCATGGGAATAATACAATGGGCAGCTTTCATACGTAGTATAAGAGGTAAGAAGCCTTGGCCCCTTACTTTTTTAGCCTTGGCTCCCCACTTTCAAATCCGTGGCGTGGGCCCTGTATGCTCTAATGAAAGCTAATTAAAAATTTGGTAAGTTGTCCATGGGTGGAATAGAGCACATTCTGGTTAATTCGGAGATGGATAAATGATTAGAGTCACAGCCTACATATCCAAGGGTATGGGGGTTCAAGTCCCTGACACAACCAAACTATCACCAAGGGTGCGGGGAGTGGCCAGGCTCTCTGCAATTCCAGGCAGAGGAATCATAAGGTGTGGATATTTCCTCAATAATTAGGTTTACGGACTATATATCCAATGAACCAGGTTTCGAGTCCTTGACATGACCAAACTTTAACCCAGAGTGGGGAGAGTCGGCAGCTCTCTGCAATTCCAGGCATGGGAATCATGAGGTGTGGTCACATTGAAAGGAAAGACCAAGACACTGCTCGATAAGCACAGCTTCTCAGTCTCCTAAAAACTACCTTCTGATGCTAACTAAAAACAAATACTAATACATTCTGATTTTGCCGTTTTGGTGTCCTTTTTCTAAGAAGAGCATGAGATACCGTAGTGCCTTACAAAATTAACAATGAGGTTGTAAATGGCTTTGAAAAAGGCAAAAATTTCACAACATACTACTAAAAGCTTGTTTGTCTGATGCTCCTCAGAGTATAAAACGTCAGAATAAGGGTCCCAAAGAACATGATGAAAAGTATGTACTGCAAACAAATTGTTTAAATTAAGGTTGTGTTGAATACCAGAAAATGTTGAAATTCTGCATGTACTGAAAATAATCTTTGCAAATTATATCGCCTCTTATTCATAATTACACTATTAATATAATGTATGTGTTTAAAATTGTTCTGACTCTTGCTCAGACATGATGGTCATCAAATGGAGAACAATAAGTATGAATGATTAATACTTAGAGAAGGTGCCCCTCCTTCTTCTCTTCTTGTCACCAAGATTAATTTACAGCTCCCCTGCAACGTCACTGGCTAGCTAGAAAATAGAAGATAGAAAATAGAAAATAGAAGGCTCTTGCACAACCAGCATGCTTTGCGATTATATCTTTAGCAAAATACCTATTAATTTCTCCGTACATAAAAATTGCTACAGTAACATATCTCATTGCAAGATTCACAGAATCCGGCGGACAGCCTATCCTGCGGTTCTTCCTTCTCACACAACATATGCTGGTTGTTTACAATTTCCTCTATTTGTGAAGACTACAAGCAGGTTAGCCCTTATTAGCTACAAAGACTGGAAAATGAATGAAGCTCAGTTTTAGAAAAGCTTTCGGGTGATTATTGGGTGTTCGTGAATTATTGATCAGAATTCCGATGTAAAAACCAAAAACAACCCAAGAATATTGTCATGCCCTGAAATTAAGTATTTTTCAATCCTGTGGCGTTGATCCTTGATTAAAAGTCTTAAGAAAACATGGGCTTGTAAATTTATTTTGCTGGAATGCTTGCTAGCTATATTGACGTTTATTCCCAATTAATTATTGAGTTTTTCAGAGTTTTTATGCGGAGTTATGCGGTTTAAACAGTTTTTGTGGACAGCTTTGATAACGTCATCACGACTCCATTTGTTTCTTTTGCCCCAGGCCCCGAAAAAAGCTCTCAACTGGCCTGCGTACCATCTGTGACAATATCCTACAGTGCCAGACAGATTTGTCCCTGATTCATTGACCTAGTAGTTTTGTCTGTCTTTTGTGATTTGACTTCACCAAATAATCTTAAACAACACATATTGAGGGGGTTTTCAAATTTGAAGGAGGGTCAGTTGGATGAGGGGGCGCTGAAAGAGTTTGGTGACTTGGTTAGGGTCAGAAATTGGTGACTAGTGTACGCTGTATACAACAATTTCAGACCCTAACTACTGACAGAAGGCTCTCCATTCACTTTGTAAGGAAATTTTCACAATAATTTTTGTTTACTTTGAGGTAATCCTTGAAGTAAGTTAACCTATAAGTCTCAGAAACTTTTTCACCTGACTCCCATTCTTGAAAAGGGGCGCACAATTTCCGAAAAAGGGGCGCCAGACTTGCTTCAACTCGGTGAAGGAGGGGCAACTGCCCCTAGCTGCCCCCTTTTTAATCCGCGACTGATTTCAAACCACTGGACATAAGTATTTCACCTCTTATAGACAACTATTATAAGATTGTTTGTAGTGACTGTAGTTTCTTATCTTGCATTTTTAAAAGTGGGGAAGGGCAAATGTAGGGGAAGGAGGCATCTTTGTGGACTATAATTTTTTTAAGGCCATTTTTTATTCAAGCCGTTTTTGTTGTAACTTGTTGACGCATAGGTTGAATCTTGATTTGGATTTATTAATTAGATTTCAAGGTTACGCGGAAAACAGACCAATTTTGCGTGCATTCAATGTAGTCTTTCCACGTCAATTCACAGAGTTTGAATTTTTTTATGACCATAAGATAAAGGGGTCGGATCGTTTCAAGTAGAACGGAAGAAGATCGCATTTGATTGGTTCCTTGAGCTGACCAATCAGGGGCCGATCACGTGCTTCTTACGAATAAATTAAAATAAATGAACTACAGAATGAACTACGAAAAATTGACTTACTCATGCCAAAGTTCCCTGATATTGTTGCAGACTGTAGCTCTCTTGAGATCTTTCCAGGCCTATGTTCCCGTGAAGTTTTGTTTATTTCTTGAAAAGCAGTCTGCCATTGATCTGAGAGCTCTAATTGTGTCCGTCACATCAACCAGTTTTGCGTTTAATTCTAATCCTGTTCTTGGTTTCCTCCCAGGTTACGGTATTTTGCTGTCCCGGAATTTAGAGTTCGTTTGAGACTGCGTTCCCCTGAAATCGGTTTATTGTCAAAGCTATATTCCATCTAATAAGCTTACATTTCAACCGTTACACACACCCAACGTGTGTTAATTTCCATCTTGCACTTTGCCTCTGTTCCAGGATTTCCCTCATTCCGGATTTTACCCTCCGAACCTGCAAAATTTATTAGTGCTCTCATTGTGGCCAGAGTTTGCTTACCAAACAGCTATATATACACAGTTTAAACAAGAAAGGTCGCCTACACTGATCCACAATATAAGCTATTCACCAGTATGGCTAAACTATGCACTAATTTTGGTCTGTAAATTTATTCGTTAAGGCAAAATCTACCTTGTCATTAGCTCAGCCATTTTCATTCATTCTAAAAGATGAATTTAGAGAAGGGTTCAACTCTGAAAACGAAAATCTGTTGAGAGAAAACATTGAATTTTTATGAGTGGTCAGGTATGGGCAAGTTTACATATCATCGCGCTGGATTCGACTCCTGATTGCGTCATAAAAAGTGTTAAATTACAATTTTAATTACTTTTATTTCTATTTAAAACTTCTTGAGATTGGAAAATCGAACTTTTCAGCTACCATTTCCAACAAGAAGTGCTGCCATATTGAATTTGTTGCTGTTAGAGTTGCCTTAGATGCGCAAGTTTGAAGCACATGAATCTGGTTTCATTTCTTCGCAACCACGCTTCTGAAGTCAAAACTGGTATCGATTTTCGAACACTGTTACGCGTGTTATTAGTTACGAGCCTCCTGCGAAATTTCGTAACAAGATTTCGACCTTCGAAAAAGCCCGTGACTGCTTGCAGTTTTCCAGAAATTGTACTCATTTCGCTCCACAATTATACAAAGTATATAACGATTCTCTTCTTAAGCAAATAAATCGAAGAGTTTTAATCAAAACTCAGCTGTTTGTTTAAGAATGAATTCCGAATCCGCAATTCTTATTCGACGCAATTACGACGACAAGTGCTGATGTAGCATACCGAGGGATTCGCAAAGATTGATAATATTTGCCGAATCACAAAGGCTGCAGGATGTCAATTTGTTTTGGAATTATATGATCAGCTTTGTTGTGATATGAGCGATCGAGAAGCGACGTGTAGAGGAATCTAAACGCTGCGAGATCGTGGATACAGTATCTTAAATATTCATTACAAGCCAGGACAGTGGTGTCACGGAACGTAGAAACTTCTTCTTTATTTGTAGAAACGAAATGCATTAAACCAACTCAAAAGGTAAGGATTCTGTTGCTCCGTGCTGTCTTTTCTGCTCTTATTCTGGTTTGTTTATCAAAATATTTGCAACGCACGGACATTTTAAGTAAGTGGTTTTAGCAATATACAAGCACCGAAACTACTCCAGATATCAGCCAAATCTTAGTAGCTACCGTAAATCCTAAACCGTATCGATGGTGGGTGGGGAGGGAGGTGGCATAAGGGGGTGGCCTTGGGGGCTGATGGCGTTAGGGTGGGTATGCTTTCCTCTTCAAAATGAGAACTCTGTTTCAAACGAGGAATTTTTTCCATCTATGGGTACTTTGTAGCAAATTTTCAAACCTTTCGGTAAATTTTTTCCATCTATGGGTACTTTGTAGCAAATTTTCAAACCTTTCGGTAAATTTTCACAAATTGGATAGCTTACAAACTTCCTATCCTAATGAAACCCGAAACCCAATAGTCAGCGGCTCTGTTTGAATCCCTCAAGGATTTCTTTAACTTAGTCTTAGGTCTAATTTAGGGAAGAATTCATGTCTGTATGGAGTAACTTCTCCTTGCATACTTCTCACTAGAGAAAGGGGGTAATTTTGATTAATCGACTTCTTTAAAATTGCTATTTTATCAGTTCTGATTAGGAGATGCCCCCCCCCCAATAATTCAAACTTAAATATACCGATTCTAACCTGGGAACAGCAATGTTAATAATGTATCATCTTACCCCCTTGCCCCTGATGTGGCAGACTTTGCTAGCACAGTGTTGGCTGAGGATTTTGGATGAAAATATTGTTTGTACTACATATATCAAATCATTCGATAATCTTGTCCAATCTAAAACTTTAACTTAGCAAAATTACCTTGGACCATCGTTTCCCCATCCTTCGGCGCAAAGGACCCCGTATCACCCTGTTTTAAGAGCTTCTACGCAGCCGGCATGCTTGCGTATCTGATAACAAAGTTGGAAAATTTCACGAAAACAAAATGATTTCCAAGGATTTCAGTTAAAACAATAGGATTTCCAGAGATTTTCTGATAAAACAAATGGATTTCGCCCAAAAATGTATGAGATTCTCATAGACTGATTTGCCCCTCGTGCCCATTCTTATTACGCCAATGTTTATTACAAACAACATAATTTCTCACTCACCGTTTCACTAAAACTCCCTCCAAGCCTTCATTTCCCTGCTAGCAGAACGAAACATCTACGACTCTTATTGGACGTTTTAAGCCTCGAGATTATTCCATAATAATCCGTGATTTCCAAATTCCCTTTATTTGTTAATATTTGATTTAGCACTGCAGATGAAAGCAATTCGTCAAACGGATTTTGTAAATGTTTGCGCACACAGGCACCGGGCAGTTGTTTCTAAAGCAACATGATGACGTCACTGGCCAGCGATGCACATTGACAATACACAAAGCACTCGTGAGTTACGTGTTCAAGCAAGGCTACATTCACCGAAGGGATTTACAGACTTTATAAGTTGCAGAATTATTGTTCCTGGATACGTCACAGGCTCAAAAAGAGGTTACAGTATCACATTAAATCGAGACTTGTATGAAACTGCGGAACGCTCCAAGAGTTACTGCGTATCCTTCGCCTCACTGCAGTTTGCCGCCTCTATCGTCCAGCACATGCTCTATTGAGGTGTTGGTTTACAACTTGAGCCAGGACAGAAGCTTTTAACAGTAGATTTCCGTAAGCTATGATAATCTGAAAACATAACTTGTGACTCTCACTCACGAACTCGCGTGTTTGACGTGACAACCGCGTATTACCTGCAGAGCTATAGAAATTCTGTGTACAGCAAGAAACCTAAACATGCTTGGAGCTATTTTAAAGATAAAAGCCGCGGGACGAAACGTGAAGTCCCGCAGCGGACACGAGTCCGAATCGTCCCAAGTCTCTAAAGAATACAGCTTACGACAAATATTCAAAACGGGTGCTGCTGTAGCATTAGGTCAAGGTGAGTAAACGCGATTTACACGAGAGCATGTTCAATACTACCCGCGCCTATACTGATTTTCCCGCGCATCTTTCGCGTTTAAGCAGGAGTTTTTCAAACAGATCCGCACATTGGCGGGTTCATAATTAATCCACGAGGCCGGTCTTTGCTTTTCATTGTGGATTAGAACTAATTTTGTCATTAAATATTTAAACTTAGAAATTGACGCAATTTTAAAAAAAAGAAAAGTGCCAAGCAAGCTCCAGATGAGCAATGTCATTCCCTTAGTTGAACTCGTTGGTTGACATAAGAATCCGGGTAGGCGTCATGAATGTCATATTTGTGAGAGAACGTTCCCTGACCCTAGGTGACCTGTGATTCGTTAATGTAGCAAAAAACTCCATGAGGAGTATGACACGAGGTAAATCGGATTATCCTGACCCGATTCTTCAGTTTCTTCAGGCCTGTTCATCTTTTCTAGGAAAAACTTTGCCAACGTTCAGAGAAATGCGTGTGGGCTTTCGAATTTTTAAGGCCATTGAAGAATCTCTAGTGCTGTAGATGAAATCTGTTTTTACTTGACTTGGGTAACAAACTATTGAAGGCAATCAGCTTTTTTTGATTGAAATTTTTTCAGTTCCTTTTGGCTTCCATCTTAAAATATTTCGACGAAAAGTTTATATCCAATCATATCAGAAGTCATTTACTTGCCTTCTGTTGTAAAACTAATCTGTAGCCTATGTGCTTATGTTTCTTTATGGTTCATATCAGCCCGAATATCAGTGTATGAATTAATATGTCTAGTGTTTTCATTTTCAAACTTACAAGCATGAAAGAAGCTAGAAGAAATTTATTGGTCGAGAGGGAATCAATCAAATTCGCCTTCTGTTCTATTGGCTCATATCGACCCAAATATTGTTGCATTAATTAATGACCAGCGTTTTCTCGTAAAGACCCTTTTAGCATGAAAAAAACTAGAAGAAATTTATTGGTCAAGAGGGAGCCAATCAAATGTGACTTCTGTTCTATTGGCTCATATCGACCCAAATATTGTTGCATTAATTAATGACCAGCGTTTTCTCGTAAAGAACCTTTTAGCATGAAAAAAACTAGAAGAAATTTATTGGTCAAGAGGGAGCCAATCAAATGTGACTTCTGTTCTATTGGCTCATATCGGCCCAAATATTGTTGCATAAATTAATGTCCAGCGTTTTCTCGTTAAGACACTTCTAGCATTAGAGAAGCTAGAAGAAATTTATTGGTCGAGAGGGAGCCAATCAAATGTGACTTCTGTTCTATTGGCTCATATCGGCCCAAATATTGTTGCATAAATTAATGACCAGCGTTTTCTCGTAAAGACCCTTTTAGCATGAAAAAAACTAGAAGAAATTTATTGGTCAAGAGGGAGCCATCAAATGTGACTTCTGTTCTATTGGCTCATATCGAACCAAATATTGTTGCATTAATTAATGACCAGCGTTTTCTCGTAAAGAACCTTTTAGCATGAAAAAAACTAGAAGAAATTTATTGGTCATAGAGGAATCCAATCAAATGTGACTTCTGTTCTATTGGCTCATATCGGCCCAAATATTGTTGCATAAATTAATGTCCAGCGTTTTCTCGTTAAGACACTTCTAGCATTAGAGAAGCTAGAAGAAATTTATTGGTCGAGAGGGAGCCAATCAAATGTGACTTCTGTTCTATTGGCTCATATCGACCCAAATATTGTTGCATTAATTAATGACCAGCGTTTTCTCGTAAAGACCCTTTTAGCATGAAAAAAACTAGAAGAAATTTATTGGTCGAGAGGGAATCAATCAAATTCGCCTTCTGTTCTATTGGCTCATATCGAACCAAATATTGTTGCATTAATTAATGACCAGCGTTTTCTCGTAAAGACCCTTTTAGCATGAAAAAAACTAGAAGAAATTTATTGGTCAAGAGGGAGCCAATCAAATGTGACTTCTGTTCTATTGGCTCATATCGGCCCAAATATTGTTGCATAAATTAATGTCCAGCGTTTTCTCGTTAAGACACTTCTAGCATTAGAGAAGCTAGAAGAAATTTATTGGTCGAGAGGGAGCCAATCAAATGTGACTTCTGTTCTATTGGCTCATATCGACCCAAATATTGTTGCATTAATTAATGACCAGCGTTTTCTCGTAAAGACACTTCTAGCATGAAAGAAACTAGAAGAAATTTATTGGTCGAGAGGGAGCCAATCAAATGTGACTTCTGTTCTATTGGCTTATATCGGCCCAAATATTGTTGCATTGATTAATGGCAAGCGTTTTCTCGTAAAGACACTTCTAGCAGGAAAGAAGCTAGAAGAAACTCGTTGGTCGAGAGGGAGCCAATCAAATGCGCCTTCTGTTCTATTGGCTCATATCTACCCAACTATTGGTGTATAGATTTAGGCAAAAAAATTTCCATTATATTTTTCAAATCCTTTCGAGAAAATGATTGATTTTAACCTACGAATGCGATCAATCCGAAATTGCTCTGTTAAAGTAGCTAATAACTAAGAAATAAATTTCTTATCTAAGAAATAAATTTCTTGTTTGTTCCTTCCTCCTTCTCGTCAAATTCAACAGCTACAATGTCTGCCAAAAGTCTTGGAACACTGACATCAATTTCCAAGGTCAAAATCAATCATCCCCCTCTCCCCTACAGAACAATGTTGGTTTACTATCAAATGGATTAGGATTTTAGGAAGCAATTTCTTTTGCGCTTCTTTTATGATATTTCTCTAAATCATCAACATTGTTTTAGGGGGAAAGGGGCTGAAGTAGCAATTTTTTTTCATGAAAGGAATGAAAGATATCAAATGCAGCGTAAATTGCTGGGTGTTCCAAGTACTTTTGGCAGGCATTGTAGTCAGGAAAAAGAACGTTGATTCTCAAACCATTTCTTCAGAACACAATAAGCCTGCACAACCAATTATATTTCCTCGTGTAACGTTGCTCCCATTCATTTAGAAGGTTTGAAAACAGATTCTTTGGCACTAGAATTTCATCTCCTGTTTTTTTCAATTTCTCATTGGCTTTCTCAGAAATTCCTCTTTTCCATAATTTG